TGCTATCCTCCCCAGCCAATGCTACCCTCCCCAGCCAGTGCTACCCTCGCCAGCCAGTGCTACCCTCGCCAGCCAATGTTACCCTCCCCAGCCAATGCTACCCTCTCCAGCCAATGGTATCCTCCCCAGCCAATCCTGTCTTCACACTGAAACTTCCTAGTTCCTAGCCACGTTCCTTGTTGAGCCTGTTTTCAGCTCAGTGAATTGGAACCTTGTTTTTCTCTCCGCTATCCGTGATTCCATTTGATAACACTTTAATAAGTGTTACTTTATCATTAGTCACACTTTAGTAATTGGAATGAGGCATGATTATTTCAGACCGTCTTCACATCCGCTTTGTTCTGTTGCTTCCTGCAGGTCTGACTCATCCATCTTTACACCAGGGAATGCCCCCTGGCTTTCACCCCAGTATTCCCGGCTCAATCCCCTCAACGTACCAGTTTGCAAGAGATCCGCAGTCTGGCCAGCTGGTGGTGATCCCGACGGAGCATTTACCACACTTTGGTATGTTAGAAGACTGTCCCTGCCCGTGTGTATTAACCTGCAATGTTCTAGCTCCCTCTTGGTGGGTGAGGTTAAAAACGATCTCAGGTGATGGCTGACTGATGCAGTACCTGTTGATATTGGCCAGTTCAGACAGTGACACGTTACTGCAGGCCTCAGCTGGCTATGCAGCTCCTGAATTGGGCGGCTAGAGTATGAAAGTACTACTCTAGCTCTGAGCAAGAGGCAGATGGCCCTGCTGCAGGTGCTGGGGAAGCTCTGAGTATTGGAATGGAGCTGTCAGACCGTGCTGCCTGAAGGCCAGGGTTAAGAGCACACACTAGGTCAGCGTCCACTGCCTTTGGGTTGGAGAGGGCCCAGGGGATGCTGCTGAAACCCAGTGGTCAGAGTGCTGTTCAGTGGAGGATGGTGATGATTCATCCAGTCCCTGTGCCTACGTGAGAGCTCCAAATGATCTGCTGACAACTTTGTGTGGGCTTTGACTCTCACTCAGTTGTCTGCAGGCCAACTTGCCGCTGTCCAGCTTGGGAGGGAGGTGAGGAGTGAATGGTATCTTCGGGATGGAATTGGTTCTAAAACGAAACAAAGAACAGCGGATGCTGGGAATCTGAAACAGAACAGAAATCGCTGGAGAAATTTAGCAGGTCTGGCAGCACCTGGGAGGGAAAGCAGAGTTAACATTTCAGTGACCCTTCTTCAGAACAGGGTTCAGGATTGTGAAGAACGATCCCCTGACTCTGCTGCCTCCCCATGGAATCTGCCAGGCCCATTGAGTTTCACCAGCGATTTCTGTTTTCAGTTTGAAAGCAGCACGCCTGCTTTTGGAGATTCAGGATGCAAGTGACCTCTCTGCAGGCAAACAGGATAATCCTGCAGCTGGTCAGATCCACCAGAATTCCAGGGAGCTGCCGCCGACAGCTTGGCTCAGCATTGAGACCTGGAGCATTCCGAAGTGGTTGTGGGATTGGAGCTTTTCCCACTGGTCTGTGTGGGCAGTGTATTCTGAGCTGGAAAATGGACCAGTGATGTGTTCAACTGATGTTCCAGCCCTGAGTCCAGGAGCAGGTTTTCAAAGTAGACAAGCACTCTGCTGACTGTTTGAGTATTTCCTAGCTTCCCTCTGCTATATGCCTTTGAGAATAGCCCACTGTCTGTGCCCCCGCAAAACGTGACTGTCTTTCGTTGAAAGACCTGTCCCTGTCGGATGTAGAGTGTGTACAGTGGGTGCAGTGTTTCGTTCTGGTGCTGATGGTGTGTATTTCTGCAGCAGAGTTAATGGAGCGGCCGCTGTGGCCTTCGATGTACCCGCCGACAGGGAGCTCCCTGCAACATGCTCATCAACTCCAGTTACTATCACAACAGCAGCTCCTGCGGCAGCATGAGCTCTACATGCTGCAACAACAGGCGGCCCACGCCATGGAGATCCAACGCAACGCGCAGCTCGTGGTGAGTTCATTCAGTAACCCCTCCACCTCCTCATTCACTGACCCACTCAGTTGGTTCACAGCTTCTTCAATAACAGGAGCATCAGAGCATCCGTCGCTGCTGCCTGTGTCCTACAGGCACACACAAAGGCACAAACACACAGACATACATATTGATACACATGCACACACAGTCATGCATACAGCCACAGACAAAGACACAGACACACACAGATACACATGCAGACACATACGCACACAGACAGGCATACATATAAATACTTATGTACACAGACACACCCACACACACAGATACGCATAGATACACACAGACATACACACAGATGCATACACACACAGGTGTGCACACATGCAGAAAGACAAACAAACACACTCAGCACACAGGCACACACACAGAGGCACATACAGAGACACATACACACCCCCCACCCCCACCAATTCCTTCCTGTAGATACAAACGAAGGAGCTGCAGGGTAACATTACTCTTGGTCCACATCAAAATGATGAGAAATTTTAGAAGGTTTCAGATCAGTGTTCCCTCCAACATATCCCTAATAATCAACAAGGTTAGCAGAGCTGGAGAGTCAGCTGGTCAGTCTTGGGAGCTGTTATCAGAACCCGTCTTAAGCTGCAGGATTTTAAAAGGGGTTCAGATCAGTAAGGCAGGCAGTTGGAATCTGAGTGTCCAAGCACCAGAATTCCATCCCCAAACCTCTCCACGTCTCCCTCTGCCTTTAAGATGCTCCTTGGGCATGAGTCTCAGTGCCAGATACTGTTGTGAAGAGCCCTGGGACATATTTTTAACTGTGTGAAAGATGCTTTTTAAACGCACATTGTTGTTGAAATTCAGACTGAGCCACCGATGTGATAGCCCACAGACCGCTGGAAGAACCCATTCCTGGCAAAGATTTCAACTTCAATGTCGCCCGGGCTGCGTTAGCCCTGCAGGGGTTCTGCTGTTTGCCTCTCAGGTGCCCTCAGAGACGTGGCACAAGCAACCTGGCACAGGCCATTGCCATCATTTTGCCAAGGAATGGGAAAGGGAAGGTTATTGGATTCATAATGGCAGGACCTCACAGGTTCATTGCTTCATGAAAGTGAAGCATGAAAGCTGGCAGAAGGTGAAAGAGGGCAGGGCTTGTGGCAGAACTGGTTTTTTTTCTGATCGATCCATCCACTCAGACATTTGTGAAGTTCAGGCCCTAACTGAGTTCGGAGTTGTTGCACACAGCATCCAAAATTCTGATAGAGCACTGAAGGGAATAAGATGTGGGTGGAGAGGGAGGCCGTTCAGTCCTTTGAAACTGTTCTGCCATTCAGTGAGATCGTGGCTAAGCTGATGATCTTCAGCTCCACCTTCCTGCCTTTTCCCCCACAACCCTTGTTTACCTTCCTGATTGAAAATCCACCTGCATCGACAGAATTGCTGCATTTACTCAGAGGCTCATGTTTATTAAATGAAAACACATGCTTCATATCTCTCAACCCCTAGATGTTCCAAACACTTTATAGCTAATTTTTGAAGTGTTTTAAGGCATTGGAAAGGTGTGAGATAATTCAAGCCCAGCAGAGTATCCCAAACAGGAATGTGATAATAATCACTTGAGCTGAACAATCAATATAGATCATGATACCAGCAAGAGCACCCAGATTGTTCCTAGAGTAATGCTGTGGAAACTCTTTCAGTATCAGACCAGATTCTCAGCCTAGAGTTTGTGCTTAGCTTCCTGGATTACGACCTGAACCCCTGACTTTCAGCTTTTGAGTTGAACCCACTGTGTGTAATCCTCCTCAGAGACCTGCTTTACTCACTCCCCCATAATTGTTGTTGCAAAATCAGCAGCACCAAAGGATCAGTAGGATATAGTTTGACGCGTGATGGTGCCGCTTTTGTTATTAATAATTTTGGACTGCTCCATTTTCCCTGCATCATTTCAGCTGTTGGATTAAAATAATTACGATTGGAATTTGCTGAGAGTGTTGGTACCAATGCCCTGCCAATTGGCATACTGTCTATCGCTAACTGCGGGTGCTGATGTGCTGCAGTTAGAGTCGTAGAGATACACAGCACAGTCCTTCGGTCCAACTCGTCAATGCCGATCAGATATCCGAAATTAATCTAGTCCCATTTGTCAGCATTTGGCCCATATCCATCTAAACCCTTCATACACATATACCCATCCTGATCCCTTTTAAATATTGTTATTGTGCCAGCTTCCACCACTTTCCCTACCAGCTCATACCATACATGCACTACCCTCTGCGTGAAAATGTTGCCCCTTAGATCCCTTTTAAATCTTGCCCCATCTCACCTTAAACCTATGCCCTCTAGTTTTGGCCTCCTCCACCCCAGGGAAAAGACCTTGTCTATTTACCCTATCCATGTCCCTCATGATTTTATAAACCTCTATAACGTCACCCCTCAGCCTCCGACGATCCCAGAACATAGCCCCAGTCTGTTCAGCCTCTCCCTATAGCTCAAACCCTCCAACCCTGACAACATCCTTGTAAATCTTTTCTGAATCCTTTCAAGTTTCACAACATCCTTCCTATAGCAGGGAGATCAGAATTGAATGCAGTATCCCAAAAGTGGCCTAACCAATGTCTTGTACAGCCGCAACATGACCTCCCAACTCCTGTACTCTTCGAAAGGGGTCACAGTAGACTTTCTGGATGTGACAAATGCTGTACAGTCACGGGTGAGGTAGCAAGGTGTAAACCTGAAATATTCACACATGTGAAAGGACACTGATGTTTTCCCTGTTTATAAGCACCACCAGCGTGAAAGTCGGCCCTGTAGAATTTCTTTTTTATAATTCATTCACAGGCTGTGGGCGTCACTAGCTGGGCAGCATTTATTGCCCATCCCTAATTGCCCAGAGGGCAGTTAAGAGTCAGCCACATTGCTGTGGGTCTGGAGTCACATGTAGGCCAGACCAGGTAAGGATGGCAGTTTTCTTCCCTAAAGGACATTAGTAAACCAGATGGGTTTATCCTGACATTCGGCAATGGATTCATGGTCATCATTGTTGCCGTGTAGGGTTCAGACGTTTCTGTACTTTTGAAAAGAGGTTATTATAGGATTTTGTTTGGTGATCCTGTGCCTCTTTGCCAGCCCTGGTCCCCAAATGGCTGACATCGTTGTCCAGAACACTTGTACAATCCCCGTTGCTGTTTCCTTCTGAGCAAAAACTGACCAGGTACAAACAGGGGTAAGTGTTCACCGTGTGGTGTCCTTATGTGTTTCTGACAGGAAAGACTGAAAGCGAACGAGCAGAGAAACGAGATGGAAGACAAAGTGTGCAAGAGAAGCTCTGAGGGAAGCAAGCACAGCCTCGTGACCTCCTCGACGGGGATTTTACAGAAACGGCTCTCGTCGCATTCGCCGGTGCCGTCCACGTCCTATCACAAGACGAGCACGCCACCTCCCTCATCACATACCTCATCGCCCAGGCTAAAACTGAAATCTGACGTGAGAGCCGAGATGGAGGATCCGTTACCCCCACGGCCTTACCATTCGCCGTCTCCGGCCTCCCATCCGCCCAGCCCTCCACACGGCTCACCGCCTCCAGCCCCAGCCCTACCCCAGAAAGTGGAGGCATCCGAAGAGTCTGAGAAGAAAGGCTTGGAGAAAGATTCTTCTGCTCCTTTTCAAGCCCTGTTTCCTGGTAAGGCTTTGCACCACAGCGGTGAGATTTACAGTCGCGCACAGTAACAGCGAAATCATTGCAGTGCTAAATGGCAGGGAGTAAACCTGAAACTGAACCAGGCCACTGCACACAAGATATCAATCAGGCTACCCATGGTATTGAGTAGTGTGAGCTTTCTACAAATTTCTAAACTGCCAGTCAAAGATATAATTTTATCCAGACTAGGCCTAACCTCGATTATGCTTGAGACCTTCTCCATAATTTTGACCCTACCTCCTTCCCCCGAGTGTCAGATCACTGAGTCTTTGTTTCAGTAAGTTGCCATCATAAGCTGGTGATCAAGTACCTGGGCAGCCTGAAGCAGCTCTGTGCCCATTACATGTGAACATTGCTTCTGAAATTCTCTGGTTCAGTTGACATTGTCTCAGTCCCTGTCCTCCATTTCGCGGGGGGTGGGGGGCAGGGGGCAGGGGGGAGCACGGTGGGGTGGGGTGTGGGTGTGCAGTATCTCTATTTGAATAAATGATTGTTCCTTTTCCTGTATTTTAAGGACTTAGATTCTTACTGCTACATTACCTTTCCTGATCAGACATCATGAAAACCAGATGTGATCCTAGCTAATGTCTGGTCCTGTTTGACATGATAAATGATATGAGATACAAATCAGGGGAAAGTGCTTTAAGATCATACAGGGTCTCTCCATTGTTTGCAGAATTTTAGAATGTAATTTTATTTCTAAGATCACTAATATGTTGTAGTTGGCTTCAGAAACTGTAGGACAGCTCTAGGTGTTCATGTATAAAGTGTGCTCCTTGTAAGGGATGTAGTCCAACAGCTCTGTTGGATCCTCTACCAGAGAAGCCAGGATTTATCTGATTTGGCAAATTGCTTCACTTGTGAGCTAACAGCTGTTTCTCTCCATATTTAACAGAGATTCCTCAAGGATATTCTTACCGCTCCCTTCCAACCTCTTTTGGCAGCCATTACCCCTACCTCCTGCAGCCTACTGCTGCATCTGATGCTGATGGTTTGGCATCTGATGTACCACTGCCAGAGGCCTCTGAGCCCAGGCCCTGTTCCATTGCCCCATCCTCACCTGACGTTAAGCCGATACACTTGCACCCCCCAGCAGTGCAAGAGGACTTGCGGCCCAGCATAGCTGCAGAGCCGATGGAGATCAAAGTGCAGTGTGAAGATCTGATTGATCTTGAGAACAGCAAGGGCCTGTGTGATCGACACCTCGAAGGGCAGAGCAAACCTGGGCCGTTTGGTGGAGAAATGACAGACGAGCCAACTGACCTGACCACAGAACACAAAGCCTCACCTCCCATAGAGAGCCAGGAAGACCACCAAAACTGTCAGTCACCTTACCAGACAATAGCATGCACTCCTGAGGAGGAAGTCAAAGCTGAACAGGCCAGCTCTCCTCTCGGTGACTATCAAACTACAAAGACGAATTCTGAGGTGGAGAGTTCACAAACCGAGGAATTGCCGGAGCACACTGATCACTGTTTTAAAACTGAGCAAGCAGATACCGAGAGCAACGTTGAAGATACATTACATGCCACACCTTTGAATACAGCAGAGCAGTTTGAGCTGCATTTTCAGATCACCGAGAATCACCCACCGGAGATAAAGCTGGATGATCCAATGGCTGGCATGAACGCTCTGGTAGCCGCTGTTGAGCTTCCCCAAGCATGCTCCTTACCTGTTGAGACAACCATGCCCAGTGTCCTCACCATGCCTTCTGACTTCAATACAGCAGATAGCTCCTCCCTCATTGGCATTGCGCTGCTCAGTGAGATTGCTGAACTCGAACTAGAACGGCGCAGATCAAGTGGTGTCAATAAACGTAAGTGACCTTTTCTGTCTTCGCTCGTTCAACCCTGACCCCAGGAATTCCTGCTCATCCAGGTACCTAAGTATGTTAATGTTGAGTAATAGAAAATGAAGTGAGAACTCTCAGGTCAGGTATAGAACAACTAACTACAGCTTACATATCTCTCTACTCTGTCTGGACAACATAGAAACTAGGTGCAGGAGTAGGCCATTCGGCCCTTCGACCCTACTGCACCATTCAATGTGATCATGGCTGACCATCCAACTCAGTCCCCTGTTCCCGCTTTCTCCCCATTTTGCTTCCTTTTGCCTGAAGAACTAAATCTAACTCCATCTTGAAAACATTCAATGTTTTGGCTTCAACCTCTTTCTGAGGCAGAGACTTCCTCAGGCTCAGTCCACTCTCTGGGTAAAGACATTTCTCCTCATCTCAGTCGTAAATGGTCTACCCCAAATCCTTAGACTGTGACTCCTGGTTTTAGACTACCTGGTCATCGGGAACATCCTTCCTGTATTTGCCTTGTCTAGTCTAGTAAGATGTTTATAGGTTTCTAACAGACCACCTCTCAAGGGCTCATTCATGTCTTAGCCCCGACCTCAGTAGACACCCCTCCTCTCGCACCCCTACTTCTGCAGTTTTGTGACCATTGCTATCCCTCACAGCAGGCGTGCTGTATTTTTTTTTCTACAGCATGATAGACAACATAATGCCACACTGCTTGCTTTCCACACAATCTCCTACAGTCACCATAGTGGAAGGATTTTAATCACATCTGTACAGATTTGCACTGGAGACCAGTTTCTAGAGGCAAACTGTTAAAATCTTTGAAAATCCTTTTTTGCTGGAATTCCAACTGAAAATAAGATTAAGAAAACAGTACAGAATCTTACAATAAGAATACAAAGGATTACGTTTGAGGTCAACCATTGTATGTTCAAAAGACCCCACAATCAAAAATACTCTGCACACAAGAGCCATTTTTCCATTCTGATATGTGATGTAATCAATTCTGATAGAAATGTTTACATTTGATCTAATTTCAATGGGGCGGGATGATAGACAATTAAAATCTAGTTAGAATGATTGAATTCCAGATTGAAAGGCTTCTGCTCTTTCTGCTGATTAGAAGCTTGTGAGGGAAAATGAGAGCGGTCAGTCTTAAACTCGAATCTTCCTATATTTGGTCTCCTGGGTGAAACCAATTGCTATGTCCCCCATGCTTTGATTGGCAGCGGGGGAGAAACCACAAGATTGGCCAAGCTGGAACTCAGATCAGTTACACTGAGGAGAGGCGTCATTGGGTTGGAGATAAAAGCACAGTATTCCCAACCAGGGAGTTTAGCCTTGCATCTGGTTAATGCTGTGCCTGATGCAAGGACTCCTTGACCAGAAGTCGGAAAGGGAATCCGCTGCCAGAATTAATTAACATGAAGATATGCCAAAAGAAATATAAATAGAAAGTTCTTCTTTTCCATGCGTCCATCCAAATCCATACAAGTTTGGCCACCAAGTTGTTGTTGCAAAGTTTGAAGCCAATTATGGACATTCTGGCGACCTTCAAAAACGAAACCTTCGAAACCACATGTTGGTTTGTGGAAGTTTTTTTGTGCCATTTTTACAAAGGAAATAAATGGTTTGAGGACTGTTTGGCTTCCTATGAATGGATTCTTACTGCCCAGTATGCACATCAGCTTTTTAAAATTGCTTTGCTAAGGCTCATTGATGCAGTGACCTTTTTGTTGTGTGAATTGTATTTTGGAAAATAACCCACCTTCCTGAACAATTACTGGTGCAGAGAAGCAGACCCAGAAGGCCACTATTCAGTTGGAGAGAGTTCAGAAACGATTTACCAGGATGTTGCTGGGTATGGAAGGTTTGAGTTATAAGGAGACGATGGATAGGCTGGGACTTTTTCTCCAGAGCGTAGAAAGTTAAAAGGCGACCTTATAGAAATTTATAAAATAGTGAGGGGTATAGGTAGGGTTAATGGTAGTTGTCTTTTCCCTAGGATGGGGCATTTTAAGACTAGGGTGCCCATTTTTAAGGTGAGGGGAGAGAGATTTAAAAAAGACGTGAGAGGCACATTTTTTAGGCAGAGGGTGGTTCTCATGTGGAATGAACTTCCTAAGGAAGTGGTGGATGTGGGTACAGTTACAATGTTTAAAAGACATTTGGATAAGTATTTGAATAGGAAAGGTTTGGAGCGATATGGGCCAGGAGCAGGCAGGTGGGACTAGTTTAGTTTGGGATTATGTTCGGAGTGGACTGGTTGGACCAAAGGGTCAGTTTCCGTGCTGTGAGACTCAATGACTATGACTATGAGTCTATGAGGCTTATAACTATGCGTGTTCATAGCGCCCAAAGTCAGGAATGCTTCTAAATATCACACGTTGATTAAGAGGAAAGGATGATCTATTTTGTCCCCTCCCATTTCTATAACTTTTCTCCCATATCCCCTTTGTAAGTAACATCATGAGAAGGCTAATGTAGTCCCTGTAGTCCCAGAGGACCATAGGGGCTGCACTGTCATTAGAGAGTGATGACTGGTGGTGGTTTAACCTGAAGGCCACTACGCTTCAGGGTCTAGGGTGAGATTGAGAAGGTAGGACCTTCGTGCTGATCATGGGAATTGAACAGGAATTGACCCCGTGTTGTTGGCATCACTCTGTATTGCAAGCCAGTCATCCAACCAACTGAGCTAACCAACCCCCTATGAGGAGACTATTAGAGAGCGAAAAAAATCTTATTCCAAATGAACATTTTGTCTTCTCTTGAAGTGTCCTTTTGCACTGGTTGGATTTCTCACATGGAGACAACATTTTGAATAAATTGGAAGCTCTTTCACATAAATCTCTGACAGTTGACACACAGTGACACACGAGTAAAACGGTGCCTGATGGGTCATGGACCTGTTTGTTTTTGTCAAGTGTACAGTTGACATTTCTTTAGAATAGACAGGGAGAGTTCAGAAAAGCTGGCTGCGTTTCAGCTGTGTGATGTTGCCAAACATTTGAATGACAATGAAGGTATGAACGTGCAAGTATTATCATCTGTTGACAGGATTTAGCTTTAATGGAGTTCAGATAGTCTGAAGTTACATTTCTGATTGGAGCATTGAAGCCAAAAAAAATCTTGCTGTCGCACTGAAAAACATGCTGAGTAATAAACTTGATATAAACCATGCCCTGTTTTAGATCCTTACAGTAGGTTCATTATGGTACTATTTCCAGTTAACTGAAAGCTTATTTAACTTATTTTTAGCCTGTAGGCTTCACTGGGTGTGGTTGATATTTATTAGCATTACCAGTCGCGAGTTGCCCTGAATTTTAGTAGCTTGCTAGTCCACTTGAGGGGGACAGTTAAGCCTTAGCCGCATTACTGCAGAGTCACCTATAGGTCCAAACAGGAAGGGAGAACAGATTTTCTACCCTAAAATTCATCAATGAACCAGCTTATTTTTTTTTACAGTGATTCAACTGCTTACTACTTAATACCAGCTGTTAATTTAACAGGGGTGGCAATGGCCTGGTATTATCACTGGACTGTTAATCCAGAGACACAGGTAATGTTCTGGGAACCTAGTTTCGAATCCCACTACAGCAGATGGTGGGATTTGAATTTGATTAAAAACCTGGAATAAAGAGTCTTAAGACTGGTAAGGTCATCATCTGATGTTGAACCGTGAATCCATTGCCAATTGTTGGAAAAACCCATTTGGTTCACTAATGTCCTTTAGGGAAGGAAACTGCCATCCTTATCTTGTTTGGCCTGTATGTGACTCCAGACCCACAGTAATGTGATTGATTCTCAGCTGCCGTATGGGCAACGAGGGATGGGCAATAAATGCTGCCTGGGCAGCAACATCCTCATCCCGCGAATGAATTTTTTTAAAAAAAGTTAAACCCTAGTTTTAAACTTAATCCAAATTCCCATAATGCCATGGTAGAATTTCAACCCCCCAGTGTCCAGATTATCAACCGAAGCCTATTGATCATTCCATTTGTAACACAGCCCATGCTGACCAGAAAAGATACAGGAGAGAAACATGTGTTTTTTTATCAATTTTTGATGAAACTATCCATAACCAGGGAAGAAGAGACTTTTTTAAATTTCCATTTTATTTGAAGGGTTGGAAGGTGGAGGGAGCCATTTGGATTTGGAAAGCCTCCTTGTTGCCAGCACCCAGGCACTCATGATGGACTCCATGCCTTCGATGAGCACTGAGATATTTGAAGATACAAAGAGTGGACCGGTGACAATCAGGCTCCCTCGAGAACTAAATCCAAACAAGAGGTACAGCTGGATGCAGAAGAAGGATGAACCTGTGAGTGAATTTAAAATTAAAAAGAAGAGCTGCACAGGGTTACTTATCATTAAGAAAAACATCAATATTGTCCAGCCTAGATCGTGAAAGATTTATGCAGTTATGTACCACTTATCATAATACAGCCAACAATAGACTTGTATCGCAGTAAATGCCTATGACTTATTACTTGGAAAACACGGCAGCCAATTTGCTCCCATAAATAAGATGTAATCATGACCAGATGATCCATTTTGTTTATTGGTCAAGTGATCAGTATTTGCCAGCACAAATCCTCTTAGAAATAGAAATGCGAGTTCTTCAATTAGGTGAGTTCTATACACTACATTTTACCTGAAAGATGGCACTTATGATTATGCAGCACTCAGTCAGGACTGCACCAGAGTGCCAGTCTGGATTCTGTGGTCAAGTATCCAAAGTGGGACTTGAACCTGCAGACTTCTTACTTCAAGACTAGGACACTACCACTGAGCCACAGCGATTAAAATGTCTGACTGAAATCATGTCCCATTCCATGTGCACTCTACCTGAAGGTGATCCTATGCCTCCTTGTCTGCTGATGTACATCCTGAGCTGTTTCCCCAGAGTTTTTGTCAGCGGTAGTTCGCTATTATTTCCCACTGTCTAGGCTGGGGAAAGAAGCAGGTCCTAAAGCTTTCTCAGACAGACCAGGAATTGAACCCATACTCTTGGCCATATGGTAGCCATCTAACTATCTGAGCTAACTGGCCTGCAATTCTATTTAAATATTCCAGTTTAATAATGGAAGATGGCTATTCATTTATTCCATTTTGATGTTTATACTGGTAAATCAAAAGTGATTTTTGGTTTATATTTGGTTAAATCAGATAGAAACGCTAAAAAGTACATGTAAGTACAGAACTTCCCTACTTTCAAAAAAAATTAAATTATATACTAGTAGTGTTTATAACATTTACATGACATTAACAGTAATTGATGGAGATAGGCCAAGGAGACCACCGTCAATTTAAGCAACTAAATGTTGTAATTTTGTATTGCAAGCGTGAATACAAATCACTGACCTAATTGCACCATAAAGTTATTGAATGGAGAGAGAAGTTTAAAGGTGTCCTTCAGGACCATGTCAGTTTAAATCTATGGAGGCAATGAAAATGAATTCCACATCAAACAGTTGTATCCTGCTGGCTGCTTTCAAGATATTCTCTGAAGCGCTGTGCTTTCAAACTTTTAGATGTTCTCCATTAAATCTGCCATTGAGGGGATGGATGCCATGGAGTTGGATTACAGGATGAAGCTGGCAGAACTACAGAGGAGATACAAGGAGAAACAAAGGGAACTGGCCAAGCTCCAGAAGAGGAGAGACTCAGAGTAAGTGATTGAGCTTCAAAGGCAGCCCATTGAATGGTCTGCAAATCAAAGGCAAGCTGGTACAGCCATACTATTCAGTGACTAAAATCTTCACAGCTATTAGATAATTCTGGAACCCTGAGACTTTAGCGACTACACCTCAGTCATAACGAGAAGAAAAGTCAAGCAGGACAGGCCATACCCCAATCTTGAGCCATTGTTTCTGAAAGATAATGCAGTTTAACACTGTCAAAAATCAGCAGGGGTTAGCCCAGTCTACCTGCTCTGGGCAAAAATCCAACAGGGCCCCCACTAGGAAGGCTACTTTGCGTTCTATAAATGGGGATAGGCATCACATTGACTCACTTAATCAAGGCCAGGCCGCTCAAAAGTTCTCTACTACTAACAAGTTTAGTTGATAAATCACATTTAAAATAACCCATATTGTATCTCCGTAGAGAAAAACGGGATGAGAAAAGTAGGAGTTTGTCGCGGAGAGGACCTGGAAGGCCGCGAAAGAGAAAGCATGGCTCAAGTGCTCCGTCACCGCATGTTGATAGAGGGCGAAGTGACAGCAAGAGTGGGAAGTAAGTTATTGCGTGGAGAGACTTGGTTCATTGTTGGTTAGCTGTGACTCGGCTAGCGTTATCTGAACAAGCCCCAGGCAACCTGTACAGGCCGGTGGTGGGGGGGGTGTTCAGCCTTTCCAGCCTCCCCCAAATATACATCAGCATCCAACACCATTTCCTGGCAGCTGGTCACTTCTAGTTATCTCTGTAAAACTCAAATAAATGATCAGCCTGGTGTAGGGGAAGGGGCCACACAAGGTAGGAAAGCAAGCTGGAAGCCAATACTCAACTGACTGAGTCTTAGGGACTTCAGGAGCAGCGTGCAAAAAGGTCACGCCTCTCCGCACAGGTTTGTTTCATTTCAATGAACTGGCGTGCCAGCTGCAGAGGGCTCTTTTGTTTCTGCACTCTTCTGGCGTGCTTTCGGCTTGGCTTTGACCCCATCCCCTGCTTTTCAATCTCCAGGCATGGGAAAGGTTTCTCACTCTCCGATGAGATGGAGATGGCCGAGGGTGCCAGGAAGAAGGTGAGGACGGCAGCCCAGGATGAAGATGATGAGGTGGAAAGCGTGAGTGTGAGAGTGAAAGGGAGAAGTCGCATGTGGGATGAGCAAGATGCATCTTCGAGCTTTTCACACGAGGTGAGCCAATTGCAACAAAGCTCCTTCAGAAGTGTTCCGCTGACCTGCCCTTGATGAACCATTGCTAGGTTGTTTCTCCATCTTGAGAACCATCTATCACGATCATAACTCAACAATATAACCCTTTTAATGGCTTAGCTAAAAGTACCAATGAATTAATGAGGTATTAAAATGACTAAATTATCTGTAAATTTCTCATGTTCCCCTCATTGGAACTAGGTGGGAGTACATGATGTAATTGGCAGCCCAGGCAAGAAGTGAGAGATTCTTATCAGTCATTTATTTTCAGAAATAAATATTTTCTAAGAACATCAGATCAAGAGTCCATCCGAAACTTAAACCTGGACTCAAGCTGACATTGTTGTCTGAAGCTGTCCCGCACTGACATTACCAGTCTCACCATTATTCATCAATTGTATTCATTATTTCAGTAACCTGAACTTTATCAACTCAAAGGATACATTTCTCCTCAAAGTAGGGTCATTTTAACATGTGGTGCTGAGAAAAACAGGCATCATCAAATTAGCCATTCACTGGACAATTATCCTGATGAGTGGCTAATTGAATCTCGGCCATTTTATGCCATTACTCAGTGATAAAACGGCCAATCAAAAGGTCTGCTCTTGGGTCATCCCTAGCCAGCAGTCCCCCAAATAAAATCAGGAGCACAATAATTTATCAGACAATTGATGTAATCACGTTTAGGATTATCAGTGATTACTAATGCTTTGTGTATCCTCTCGCCTGCATAATTTTCTCAAGTTGGAGGGCCATGTTAGAGAGATCACGTAAGTGGAACTATATGAATATTGCTTGAAAGTTCTCATCTTTCTGTTGTTATTTGCCGTGCTATTTAGAATCAAGTAACTTCCATGTATGAAAACAGATGTTTTGTAATCAACCTGGTCAGAGATGTTATTAAACACCTCAGGAGCGGGTTGGATTTGAACCCAGGCCTCCTGGGTCAGAGGCAAGGACACTCCTACTGCAACAAGAGAGCTTCTCCATTTCTGAAAATACTCTTTAACACATTTCCAATGATTACTGTTTGTCCCCTTGGTTCGTGCCTTAAAATGGTGAGTGCAAGTAAAAAGAGCACAGTTATGCTTTGGTTCACAATAACAAAGTAATGTTTCTGCCTTGTCTTAGTCGTTTCTCCCATTTACCTAATTAAAAATTCATATCCACCGTTCCTTCTAGGGAATGTGAAAAGGTTTAAGAGAAGTGGTTGTCTGACAGGACATGCAATTATTGGCAGTCAATGGGCTGGTGGGAAAGAAAAAGTATAGAATACTTGCCATTATTCTGATTGGATCCATTCATAAGTCAAAGTGGACATTGATGCCATTAGCGGACAATTCAAAATGACAAATGTCACACTCCATTGGGTTGATGCGCTGGAAATAAAGCCATGCTATTCCCAGATTCATCACAAAAGGTAATGTTTTTAAATAAGTACACAGAATTCATCAGTTTACCCGACCTTCAGACCCAGGACGATAGGAAGCACGGACCAGGTTTCTATAAGTAATGAAAATTACTGTGTATTACAACTAATAGACTGTAGCTGTGGGTAAACAGCTATAAACTAGCAGTATATCACACCATAAATTAATACACACACACACGCACACACACACTCCACTCACATGCATACACAGGGAAAAGGTACAATGACAGAAGGAAACAATCTGGGAAGACTGTTTGGTCGTCTTTGTCCACAGGTTATGTTGTGTTGGTTCTTGCTAATCTGAAAGTTTCTTTCTGGCTTCCCTTTCCCAAATGCTTCCACTAGTTTGCAAAAGGCACAGGGTAACTGGTTCCCTTGTAAAATGTCTCTGATTTATCAATGAAATGTCACAACTTACAGTAACTGCTGAAGGAAAGATTAATTGGTTTGCCTCAGGTTTAAAGTGAGTTTGACTCACTTCTGAGTTTCTGGTGCAGATTAAAACCTTTCTCTGTGTCTTGTTCCCAGTCACCCGACAACCAATCACACCTGTTGGTGGGCAAAAACCTTTTCTCAACTAATCACTAGTCCATAGACCAATTAATTATTTTTGCCACCCAGGTACATCAGTACACAAATGCATGGATGCAGTTCATCTGCAGCTCATTCAGTTATGGCTTGTTCAAACAATGCTCCAAGATACTTAGGTTACTTGCCTTTGAAAACATGTAGCCACCCTTTAAAAACACTTCTTTAAAGCAGTCCCAAGTCATTGCAGTCCACAAGTGTTAAAAACATAAAAATAAAAAGACACGGTCCCTACAGAAGAAAGATAGGCACATGTTACACACCAGAAACCAAGGGTAATCTAGGGGCTACTAAAATGGATTAAATTAAGGTAATTTACATTAACAGAGAAAATGTACCAGAGAAACTCAAGGAACTAAAATCAAACAAATAAACCCCAGAACCTAAAGGGAAAACCCATTTGATTAATTTATTATGATTTTTGAGACTGTAACTTGTAATGTCGATAAATAGCCAACAGTAGATGTAATATATTCAGATTTCCAAAGGAATTTTTGCCACAAGCTTTGCTTCTGATTCAGTTAATTTTTAAAAAAGTGGTTGGGTGTTTTTTTTAAGCAATTCCACATATGCTGTTTTTATAGTTGTGTTCATTGGTTCTGTACTGGATGTGCAGGCACAACAGTGCAATGAATTGGCATGAAAGGGATGAAGAACCCTTGGGATCTTGGAGCCTGGGGAGTGGATAGGGTAGAGTACAGGGCTAGAAAACCTGAAATACATAAAAATCCCCAGAAAACTGAGATGGTCCTTTTAAACAGTCCACCCTGGCAATTACTGCTGCCTTGACCACTTCCAGTCTGTTTCCAAGCGGGGGGTGAGCATGATTTTATCCCAATCCCCATTTCCTCAGTGTCCTAGTGACTAAAAGGCACTCCTTATGAAGGTGACACATGCCAATTTGGGAAAATTTGCTGACTCAAGCTATGCTGTTTAGTGGCGAAAATCCAGCTGCATGAGCACAAAGCTCTGAGCTCACTCCTGTATGGAGTCATTGTTTGCTGCTCCAAGTTGTACAATGACAAGGGAATCTATTCACTGAGGTTCTGCTTCTTCCACCAGTATGTCTCCTCCCCCAGTGATGCTGAGGATGCCGTTTTGTATTGAAGTGACACTGACCTCTGATCTCCTGTTACTTTAAACCCAACAGAGCCACGGCCAGATTAAGTTCAAGAAGAAGAGGAAGGTCAGTGAACAGGACCAGCTGGCGACCAAGCTACACCAAACCCTCTCGCTAACTAAATTAAAGTCACCCTTTAAGTTTGCAGATGGTTCAACAGGGAAGCAGAAATGTAGCGTCATGGATAACTGCAGGCACCTGGGCTCCCATAAAGACTTTCTGGGGAAAGACGGAAGGAAGGCACTACATAAAGCCATCGGCAGCTCACCGAGCATGCTCCCTTCCAAAGAAAGCAAAAGCAAAATGGCAGCCAAAGGCAGGAAGTTGGAGTCATGTTCAAAGTTGAAGGGTAGGCTGAAGACGTCCCATTCTCCGGCAAGATCAGAGGTCAGCAGTTACTCCTACAGTAAGTTGCACTTTTTCTACTTCAAGGAAGCAAGTAAAAACAATTCGAAATGAAGTCTGTTATTATCTGGGATGGATTAGATTACTGGATGTGGAAACACACAGCCGGAGCATTCAAAACCTTACTAGTTGAGTGGAAGGTAGCCTGCATGTTTATTTGAAGTCCACAATCTCATTTCCCATCAGCCCATGTTTGCAGGGTTTCAGGTGAAGTTGGATGGAGAGAGTTTGTGGTTTAAAATGTAACCTGCGATGGGGTGGAACTGCCACTGCCTTTAGACAATACTGAAAACAGTTTATTTGTTGTTATGTGGTTTTGGGGATTCATGCTGTGTATGATTTTCAAGTTGATAAATGTCAATACTGGAAGATGGAAATTCTGTCCACTCCAGCACCCAGTACTGACACCTCAAAGTTCTATCTGTGGCCAGATACAGATAAAGATTTCCCTTCACCCCGACCCTGACTCAGCAACGGGGCCAATTAGAAGTAACTCTGGCAGTGAAGCTACTGTTGCAGATCAACCAGCTCTTAACGGTACTGCCTCACTTCCATTTCCTCGAAAATAAGGTTCGGAAAATTGGGTGCTTTCCATTTTGACAGATGAACAGGTTAAAAATCCACCCAGCCGTCGGGGATGGGGTCATCTCAGCAGCTCTTTACATCTTTCCTTTATCTAAGCACTTATAGTCAGCTACTGACTAGGGCCTCCTTTCTGGGACATTTGCTGGACCTCTTTTTTAACATTACAATCGAATGATCTGAAGTTTAACTTTAAATTGCTCAAAGTGACTTAGCTAAATCCTGCGGACATTATCAAAAAGGTAAAGCTGCTGCAGTGTAATATGTCGTGAATTTTGAACCATCTCTTATTGTCATGTCTGTATTACTTGAGAAGGTCTCACTGTGGGAACTTAGCATGACAAAACTGGTTAAAAGTAAATTCTCACAATATGATGCATTGTGGTCCAGGTTAGCAAAGATTGATTGTCTTTAGTGAGCGAATGCTTTGTTCAGTGTGGGAGTGGGCAAGGTAGGCTGCTAGGTTTGATCACTCCTGTTTAGCCTATGTTGATCTCAGTGGGGTCGTGGGAGAGTGGCTAATGTTTGGCTTTAGTTTCCCGGTGTTGGAGAGGAGGACAGGTTAAATGAACTCAGGGCCCCACTTCTCATTGCTGTCTGGGATAATGTCCACCATAATAGTACATGTGGAGTGGATTGGTCACAGGTGGGATGCACCTCACAGTGGAAGAGCCGTGGCACAGTTGCATGTTCTGAGTTCACAGAAAAAGGACAATGATTTTGGGACGGGAGGCCATCTGATATTACCGAAACATTACCCTGCCCACACTAGGAAAGGAACAAGCAGAGAATAAGACAAAAAGGAATAAGTTGCCTGTTCTAAGGGTATTTGTTAGTCAAAGCTTATTGGTAAATTTAACCTGCAGCAAGCAGTTTAGGAGTCGGTTTTGCTTGTTTGGCTGCCAGCTGGTTTGTAATGCAGAGTGATGCCAACAGCATGGGTTCAGTTCCCAACCGGCTGACGTTACCATGAAAGATCCTCCTCAACCTCTCCCTTTCCCTGAGGCATGATGATCCTCACGTTAAACCATCACCAGTCAGTCCTGCAGTCTGATAGGACTGTGGCAACTTTACCTTTACTTAAAAGTTTTAGATATACAATTGTTATTTCTAATTCTTAGTTTTTAAACAAGTTAACAGATAAGCAGGCTAAAAGATGTAGAGTTCTCTTAAAAAAAATGATTGTAACATCAGATTTACTGACTCAGTCAGCTTCTGCCCATTATACAACAACAACTTGCACTTAGAAAGTATCTCGAATGTAGTAAAACGTCCCAAGATGCCTTACAGAAGCATTATCAAACAGAATTTGACACTTATCCACATAAGGCAATATTAAGACAAGTGGTCAAAAGCTTGGACAGACAGATGAGTTTCAATGGAGAGTTTAATGGGGACAGAGAGAGTTCAGGAAGCAAATAGACTTTCAGATGGAGTTCTAAAACTTGGAGCTGAGAGGGCACAGCTATTAATAATAGATTATTGAAAATTGGTGATGCATGAAAAATCAAAATTAGAGGAGTGCAGGCATCTCAGAAGATTATAGAGGAGATTAAAGAGATGGGGAGTAGGTAAGATATGGGGGTTATTTGAAAATGAATGTGAATTTTCAAATAGATATTGTAGCCAATAGTGTATCCTTTCTTGAAGGACATTGGTCACCCGACTGTCTGCAATTCCATTTTTGAGCATTTGGCATCTTGAGGAAGCCTGGTCACTTGACTTTTATGTTCCTTTTCACGATACTGTGGCATGCTGACACTTTGAGGAGTGACACTGAGTGCTACCTTTTACCACTGCAGATACTGACACAGAGGATGAGGAGGAGCTGGTAAAGGATGAATGGCCGCTGCAGCCCACCTCAAGTATGTCTGAGCGATCAGGCTCCAAGCCGAAGGCACCTGCTCTCTATGGCATAATATCAAAGAAAAGCAAGGCTTCACTGGGCACAAAGCAGGCCAAAAGACTAGCGTCTGCCACTGGGACTATGCGATCGCAACGAGCGACCGACAAGAAAAATCTGAAGCACTTTGCCTTGCTATTGGAGGAAGCCGAGGGTGGATCTTCCTTCAGTGACAGTTCGGAGGACTCATTCAATCAAGGTTAATAGAAGTAAACCTCAGGTGTTGAGAGCAAATGATGGTGCAAAGTAGTGGCCATCTGGAATTTGGCAGGTGTAGGCTGCCCTTTTCTAACTGTTGTATTAAATATTGGCTCTTTTGGAGCCTGCGTCTAATTGGCTAATTCCTAAGACCTCTCTTCCTAACCCGCACCCCCTCACCCCTTGGGATTGGCCTCTTGAGAGGTTTCAATGAACCACTGGAATTGTAAATTGAATACTTTGTGTGTGTGTGTGTGTTTTCCCAATGTTTGTACTGCAATGTGCTGCCGAAGCTTAATTAAACATGTTCATTTCTTTTTTAACTAAATGAGCGTGCTTTGTCTCTCTTGCTTTGCATTTGCTTTTAATTTTTTTTTAAATATGTAGTCTTCTTCTAATAGATGAAAGGGCATTTCACTTCATCCCCACTTGCAATAGAACTCTCTATTATTCAGATATCCCTTTCATGTCGGAATGTTTATAGGAAGTGCAATGATGTTGGTTATCTGTCTTTATTTCTTAGAAGCTTGCTGGTATTGCTCCTCTAGTCTCTAATATGTCCTTGAATGTCCAATAATTTCACCATCCTTTTTTTTCGTTTCTAGATTTTCTGTTTTCTAGTTCAAACTGTTTCAAAAGCCACAAAAGAAAAGATATGTGTGGGAAACATCACAGCTTGAATAGTCTCCTCAGGAGTTGATTGGCATTTTCTACTTCATTTACTGAAGCACTCAGCAAACTTAGAATGAGGAGCAGAATAATATGTGACAGTGGGAAGGGAATCATATGCAGGAGTACTTATTGTTTTGGTAATGGTTGAAATCCAATAACGAGTCTAATTAGTATCAAAATGTAATTGGCATTGAGGTTTATAGAGCCAACATGAAGCATAAAAAGTATTTAATATTGGTTTGTGTTAAGAATATGTGGGACTGAGTGTAGTACAATTTTTCCAGTTGTTGAAATAATCATCTAAAATCCTGCTGCAAATTGTCACCATCCATTCTATTCAAGCCTCTGGAGACACCAATGTTTTCGAGCGCTGGTTTCCCAGATACTTTCAAATGACTGACATAGCTGACTGGTCTTTGAATGCCAAAAAAGTGCCACTTAATGCCTCTTCCTTAAGCATGTTAAATCCTATGTAAATGCAAGCCTGTTACTAACTTTCAAAAGTAAATTGGGACTTCTGAATGTTGTTCACAATTTAATGGTTCAGTTCTATTCTTGGGGCGATGGTATATATTAGTGCAACTGTCTCACCAGTTGTAAGACTATGTAACTGTTTGAAAGCTTGATGACTGCCTTATCCCGTCTGGACAGGTTGAAAGTTTATATGTACTGTTTTTTTTCAACAAAAAAAATGTGTACAAAATAATTTAAAGAAATGAACTTCTATAATCTGTATGAATACCTTAAAAGTTCTGTTATGTTTTTTTTTAATAGTGTTGTACTATAAAAACCTGGGGTGGAATTCCTGTTTTTTTAAACTCAAATGGTAGGTGTAAAATAATTATTGCCCACTTTGTACCAACATATTGTGCCTCCCATCACTGGTCTGTTCCAGAACACAGACATTCCAACTTGATACAGCGAGGAGTTTGTTGAAACTTTTTTTGTTTGTTTTCAGAGGCAAGTCCCTTTTATGTCACAAGGCAAATCCAATTTACTGTGAACGGGAGGGTATTCAACAAGGTGCACTTTTTGTCTCAAGGCTGTTGTTGAAAACACCAAAATTCACAGAATTGGACTTGCATTAGGACTAGGTGGAGACATAACAGCAAGCAACCACATGAAACCTGTAGAAGGGTGGTTTTCATTGCCGGAAACAGTTCTGCTTTTTTTTTGAAATGGCAATGGTCAGCAATACTGGCTAGACATCTGAACAAGGCTGAGCAAAAGCTTGGGATCTATTGTGTTGCTTTCCTACGGTGAAAGACGACAGGTTATCTTTAAGTAATCAAAGTAATAATCCTAACGATACTGGGAGTATCACTCTGAGGTAAAGGTTGGGGCTATTTTAAAATGATAATTATCAGGAAGTGATAGTAGGCTAAAGAAAGAAAGTTTCTTAAAGGCCCGAGTCAAATCTTTTGCTCATCCAGTTCTGTGAGGTTGACAGAACCTGAATCTTTTTGTTATCTTTTTGATATAATATTTGGAATATAAACTATTGATGGATCTTCATGGGGGAAGCATTGCCAATTATAAATAATCCAGTGGTCTTGCCTTCATCCCTGCTCCCGGTTGCAGTACAGGGTACATCAAAATCCATTAACACCTGGTTGTTTGCCACATTTTGCAACTGCCAACAAAATCAATAGACTCTTTGTTAGAAAGTGTCCTTGCTGTGGCAAAGGAATTGATCATTTCTGGTGGTTCTGTCTTGGGAGAACAGTCCACTATACATTGTTGGGGCGGGGGGGCCAAGTCAGTGGATCGATTTAAAGAGTTTAACCTGCTCTGTTCAAATAAGACAGGATGTTTGCCAACTCGAGAGCACAGGAAATAAGTGAGTAGGTCCACTGGATTCTCATATAATTGGCAATGGTACATTGAAAGTGAAGTTGCTTTTCTTGGAATTTTTGATATGTTGCCTACAAAAGATCAACAAAGGTTTGCCCTGGTATTGTTGATAAGGGGCAAGATCTGTTACTAATTGCCTTAAGGGATATTTGGGTAATAGGGTTCTTTATGGCTGTCCCCTAATGTCCAGTACTAAAACAATAACCTGGCTTTTCTAGAATGCTCGCTTTCTCCTTGCAGCTGCTTGACACCCCTTCACCTTTGACCCCTATCCATGATGCTTGAATGTCTATCGGTATCTTGCATTGCTCTCATGCTGCACTAAGAAGCAAAGTGATTGGCTGGGAGTAGGGCAGACACCACGCAGTGGGGTCACTTTCCATGGCAGCAGAACCTTGCATTGTTATGTAGGTAGGAAAACCACTTTTCTTCATGTAACTTTTGAACTCTTGACCACTGTCCTTGCCATATTTCTTGTTTTTCTTTTAATAAATTGTACCTGTAACGTAGTTAAATTTAAATGTTTTGGGGAGAAAACAAAGATCCCATTATGCTGTTGCAATTAAAGATGTTGTTATGTGATAAAATAGATAAAATTGTTACCATGACAACAAAGGACCCAAAACTGTTCGAAGTCTGCCTACACACAGCCTGCTTTGTACACAGTAGGCTCGCTTGCTTTTACAAATAAGCTGTGAATTGATTTTCTGAGTACTAATTGCTCAGATGCAATCTTTCTTTAACATACTTACATTGCTCGATATCTCCTCGAATAACAAAAGGTGCTGCTAACAATCGGCTTTCTTACTTTACTTATCCCTAACCAATCTTGCACTGTTCTGTAGAGGTGCACACTGTTTGTAACATTTTGAAGCAAAGCCACCAAAACAAAAAATTAACGTTAACAAGTAAATTCTGATTGAGACTGGCGCAAATATTTTAACCTATTGCATAAAAAAAAGAAGTCAAATAAAAGAAATTTAATGTCGGTGTATCTGCTTGACAGTACGTTTGACTGTAAAGTATTTGTAAATTTAACCCTTGGACTTTAAGCCCATCTTCTGGCTTCTAACAGTCAAAGGATTAAATAAGATTCACAGGATGGAAATTTCTTTACACTTAGTTATTCTAGAGCATTTATTTGTTTGTAATTATGAACTGTGCAGCTTGTTTGTTAGAAATGTGGGTTGGAGGAGTGGAGAATGTTGGCTAATATATGCAAATAGACTTGTTTATGAGGTCTCTGCAGTGAAGAAAAGTGCTGAGGTTGAAAGGAGGTTACCATACACTCTGAACATCAGTTTCTATCATCTCTGAATGAGGAATGGTTCATCTTTTCACACACTCAACATCTCGTTGCTTTCAGTATCCCCATCCATTTTTAATTGTGAATCAAGTTACCGGTTAATGGATCGGAAATTCGAATCCTTTGCTCTCAAATAATCTGAAGAGCTTCAAATTTATCACCCCTTTCTTAATGTTGTAGGGCCAAATAGTTTGTACTCTGGTCTTTCAAGGATTTATAACCATTTATAAAACCAAAAGGAAATCAAAGCACAAATGTGGGTCATTCTCCAGTGTTTTCAACCCAGACTCTTAATGCACAGATTGTTATTATTGCCAGTAACTGGGTACTTTTTTCAATGTAGATTACACCTCTGAAGAAGAGGATTATAGGAATGATTGCAGTGATGCTCTTTCCTCGCCAGTCCTGGATGAGAGTGGTCTTGGCCTACTAGCCAGGTTTGCAGCCAGTGCCCTGCCAAGTCCTGTTATGACTCCGCCATTATCAGTTGTCCAGCTTGAGGCCAAGCAGAAAGCTAAGAAGAAGGAAGAAAGGCAGAACTTGATGGGTGAGTACATCTTATTTGTTGTAAATTGACCATCTAGTTACTTGAGAGTAAGAGTTGAATTTAGCTTTGCTGCGTTGTAAAATCAGGCTGACTAGTTAAGTCTACTTTCTTTGGTTAACGTAAGCACTATGGATTCTGGTCGTAATTCCAACTTGTTCACAAACCACTATAGCAGATCAAATCCAAAGCGAAGCCTTTTGCATGCTTGTTAGGAATATGAAGCAACTTGCAGGAACTCAACTTGGCTGGATTTGCTTTTGTTTTGTGACTGTTTTATAAAGATGAAGCATTGGAACAGCTCAAAGAAGGAGAGGTTAACAGAGTTATCCGTGGAACACCATGTGAGATATGGCGTAGCAGGGCGGCTTGCTTCTTTGCATCAGTCTGTGCCATGTGCTGATTATTTAATGAACTTTCACCCTATTTGTGGATGTGCCAAGAGCTGGTAGATGTTCCTACTCTTGAAAACGAGTGAAGGATAAAACTGGAGCCTTGGCATGTCCATAAGATTTTATTTACAGAGACGTGCTTTAGAAACATGTAACCTTTAGAGTTTCAGGCTTGGTTTTTGCTCCCTTGTGAGAGTTACAAAATTTCACATTCGCTATAGCTGCTGAGGGAAAATTTCAACAAAAGGTGGGATCCTCTTTCTAAAGGGGCAGTTTGGGGATGGAGATTAAGTAACTGCCCCTGGATACAAATTGGAGGCACCCACAATGACTACCTAGTGCTGAGCTGTTAAAATGTCTGCCTCAGTTCTCTTGGTCTTTTTATTCAGCTGTGTTGTTAAATATTAGGCCCTCTACTCTAACCCTAACCCTAAATTCATACTCTCCTCCTCCTCCCCCGCTTCCCCAACCCCCCACCCCTACACCTGCACCATCACCCATTCCTCATGCCTCATCCACTCAAGCTTATGCCAACCCTTTCCCCTTCCCCATGCCAATCCATGTCCCAACTCATGATCTCTCATACCCTCCATGACAACTTAATGCCCAGCCCATAGTTCCTGATAGTTTTTAAGCCAACTTAATACGAACTCATGCCCACCCACTCATCACCCTTTCTCCTTGCACCCTCCGTACCCAGCTCACCCAGTCTACTATGGAAAGACCCCAGTCGAGCTATTGATAAAAAAAATTGCGTCTAGATGTCTATTCCAGCTGTCGCTAGAATTAAAGACAACCATTAATGAAGCATACTGAAACCTTTGAAAGCCTGTCAGTTCTTAATCCTATATCAAAAAACAGGCTTGTACTCCTAAGGAGAGAGCAAAGACTGTAGATGCTGGAAGTCAGAGTCGATAAAATGTGGAGCTGGAGGAGTACAGCAGGTCAGACAGCATCTGAGGAGCAGGAAAGTTGATGGTTCGTGTTGACACCCTTCATTGGGAGTCCTGATGAAGGGTTATGACCCGATACATCGACTTTCCTGCTCCTCAGACGCTGTCTGACCTGCTGTACTCCTCCAGCTCCACATTTTATCGACTTGCACTCATAATCCCGCATCAAAGACAGCTAGTCCTTTAATAACCTCTTTGAGTTTCAATCAAACTGTGAATTTAAGATTCTTTACTGCGATAATGATAGAACGTGGAAAGCAGCCAAGCATTAATAATAACATAATGACCTTGAGGTAGTGTGAACAAGAGATATTGTAACTGCTAATTCAAATATTTCCAACTCTCACTGACACAGGCAGCCTACTTTTTGTTTAATTTTAAAGCTAACTCATTTAGCTAACTTCACAACTTGACAGTCCTGTAGACCTTACCCACTCTTCAAAAGATTTTACAATTACTCAAAAGACTTGTAACTGTTTCATAGAACCTGCTTGAATTCAGCATTGAGTTCATGACATAAACAGGGCTGGGAAATCTGAATCTTGGTCTGACCTGCCATTTATAAAGATCCCTGGAGTGTCCACAACTCTGTAAACATCCAGACCTCCGTTTGCTCCTATATATATGTATAGGATCAGGAGTGAATCCCCAGTAAATGCACACTCACCTCCACACAGTTAACAATAGGAAGTAGCTGTATTCAGCTTTCCTACATTAAGGAAATCAAGCTTCCCAGTATCAAGCAACTAACTTACTGAATGTAAATGCTGCCCATTGACAAAGGCTGCTTGAAACTCTGTAATTGAGACAACCTAAAGGGAATCTTGTCAGAGTATATGGGATACTTTCCCTTCAGTGGGTAAGGCACTGAATTCAAGAGCAAGGATGGAACAATATAAGACACTGGTCAGGCCACAGCTAGAATTGTGTGTACAGTTCTGGTCACCACATTACAGGGAGGGCAGAATTGTTCTAGAGACAATTTAGAGAAGATTCACGTGAATATCACCAGGACTTGGAAATTACCGCTATATGGAAAGATTGAATAGGCTAGCATCGTTTCTTTAGGCCAGAGGGATGTGTTCATCGAGCAGTACAAAATAATGAGGGGGTTGGATAGAGTGCACAGGGAAAACCGGTTTGCCTTGATAGAGGCCAGTTTCCAGGGAGCATAAGTTTAAAGTGATTGTTGAATATGAAGAAAAGTCTTTCTCACCCAGAGGGTGGTAGGTGTTTGGAACTCACAACCCAGTTTAGCAACTGAAGTTGAAACCTTCAAATCACTTACCTGGATTTGTACCTGAAACGCTGTAACCTGCAAGGATACAATCTAGGTGTTGGAAAGTGGAGTTAGAATGGGCACTAGTTTAGTCAGCTAACGCAGACATTGTGGGCTGAGTTGCCTCTTTCTGTGCTACAGCATTTTCCAGAACTCTGAAACTAGTGAAGTTTTTAGCAACGAAAGGCGAGATTTAATATTAACGAAATTTTGAAAATGGTACACCCCGATTTTTCATTTTTAAATTCTTTGATGCGTTAAGTTTTTTTTTAGCGGTCTATAATGCAGCTGGGCCGTTTGAGTACTTGCAGCATTCCCTGTTGTTATTTAATAAGAATCCGTAATCCTGGCATGTTTCTTTATCAATGCACAGGCACGGAATTTGAATACACAGACTCCGAGAGTGACGTCAAAATCAAACAGAAACCAGCTGTTTTACCACGACTGAAGAAGTCACTTCCAGAGCAAGGGAGCAGCCTGAGTCTGGTCAATGAGCAGCAAAGCCAGGACAAGCTGAGGGGAGCCGACAAGGGGAAAAAGGCCAAGAAGCCAAAGGAGAAGTCTCCCCGGGAGTTCACCTTTGACTTTGGCCCCGAAGCCAGCGATGACGACCTGTGGAACCGACGAAGGAGCGAGAGGATTTTCCTCAACGATGCCAGCGCTTCTGCCGTTCTGACCCCAACAGCCGCTCCCGGCGTGGCCCCAGGTGCCAAAACCAGCCGCTGCCTCAAGAACTCAGCGGTCAGCCCAAAGAAAGAGACGAACAGAGCAAAAGACAAGGTACACTGAGACCCTTCCGCCCCAGGGAAAAGTTTCAGCTCACACTTTTTCCTTCCAGCAGCCACCCACCCGCAGCCCGCACCACCCCACCCCCACCCACCCACCACTTCCCCTCTCCCAGAACCTGCTTGGTTGAAGTTAGTGAGTGCAGAAGGAGCAGTGAACAAGATGGCAGAGTGGTTTGGCATGTGGTGAGTAGCAGGGCTATTGTCCGCAGTTCAGGACCTCTCTGTTTGCAAACCCGCGTGCTGTTCGGAAATAAAAGGAACACGTGGCATGACTGGGTAACGTCAGTCTAGTCTTATCAGATTCCAAGGACAGGAATTTCCTGAGGATTCCAGAGTCTTGTTGTCAAGCAAAATGGGAGTCGGAAGCCCACAGTGTGGGAAACATTCTCTCAAAGTGATTCTCTTTGAGCGATGAGATGGCAGCTCGCTGCCCGAATAAGGAAGGGACAGGCTGTCTAACTGGTGGGCTCTAAAGTGGCCTTTCAGTTTGAAGGTTGCTGGAGGGTGCCTGTGGCCGTGAAGTGAGAGGGTGGACATCTGAAATATTGGCTCTCTTCTTTCCAGCTTTTGCATTGTTTGAGTTAGGAATAGCCTTTTTAACCAGGACCAATGCCCTGAAACAGGCCTTGACGGGCCTTCATTTCAAACAACTGGCTGTCAGCTGCATGTGAGATATATTGCCCTGCCACACGCTCTGACCCCTTCTCATCCTAACTCCAGGTAGAAGGCCTCAGGCTGAAATGGAGCTGGGGAATTGATCCCCTCCTGTCCCCCCATTCACGGCCCAGCCGCAGTAAAGATCAGGTTAATAACTCGGCATTTTCAAAAAGATTCTGAAGCAGACATTTACTGTCTTGGACCTGCTTCTCACACATTGAAAAGGACACCAAACCATTTGCCGATGAGGTGGGGGAGGGTCCCATCTGCCTAAGTGTTGATCCCACTTTCATCTAGGCCTTTCTAGAGCAGACACACATCTCAAACAGACCTTCGGCTGTCTGGTTATGTAAATCTGGCAACTAGTGCCTTTTAGAGAATCCTTTTTCAAAATTGGTAATGAGTCTAGCAGGCACTGGGCCTACCCAGTTCAGGATTTGCCAGCAACAGGTGAGGAAATTTAAGAAAATATGTTTATCCCAGGGGTGCAGGAGTCACAATTGCTCCATGCCCTTTGGATTGTCCCCAGTTCCTCCCCTCACGGGATTTCACTGAGGCTCACTATCTGACTCCAATCAGGCAGTCTGCCAGTGGGAGGTTTTCCAGTGAAGATAAAGTAAGGTCATTGTGTCACATCAATTCCTATTGGGTGATTTTCTGGCCCCTCGGCAAGCTACACCAAAGCTAGGAGGCCCCGTGGCACAGTCGGTAATGGCCCTACGTCTGAGCCAGAAGCTCTGGGTTCGGGTTCTGCTTCCTGGCCAGGGAGGTGGGTTAAATAGCTCAAGGACCCGCATATCCCTGTGACAGGCAGCGAGGGAGAAACACCTGGCCAGGCTTCCCTCATGTGGAGTGTTCCCCCGTTACACCCAGTCAAGCTGTAAACCTGTTCCAGGATAAACAAGGGACTGAGAGCAGCATATGCTTTGCCCATCTCATGCACCTTGAGACGCAGGAAGCCTTCTTAGTTGGAACAGATCCATTACACCGTAAAAAAAGTTACACATATATGGGTTTTGGCTATCCTCCCCACTTTGTGTGGAGTTGCACTGAGAAGATGAGAACTTGGAGGAAGATACCTGAAGTGGTGGGCCTTATGATGGTGGGGAGTTTATTGATTCGCTGCTGTGTTTTCGACTTTCAGAGAAAGAAAGGGAAGGAGCCACTGTCTCCAGGCTTCCCTTCATCCCAGATACCGAGTAACCTGTCTGAACCCAGGGCCAACCTCCTGCGCAGTGCGAGCCCCGGCAAAAAGAACAAAGTAAAAGTGAAAGCAAAGGATGGAAAAAAGGAGGTAACGCTATTGTAGAGTACATGTTGGACCGTATTATGGGATTTGATCACATTCATAGCTCTGACAAAGAGGCATATTGAACCTTGCTGAAACAGTCAAGATTTATAAGGGACTTGACAGCGTAAATGCATCCCCTTTGTGGGACAGTCTAGGAGCAGAAAGCATCATCTCAGAGTAAGGGGTCACACATTTAAGACATAGATAAGGAGGAATTTCTTCGCTGAGAGTGGTGAGTCTGTGGAATTCTTTACTACAAAGGAGTGTCGAGGCTAGATTGTTAAGTACATTCAAGGCTGAGAAGAACCGATTTTTAATCAGGAAGGGAATTGAGGGTTATAGGGAAAAGACAGGAAAGTGGAGTTGAGGATTATCAGATCAGCCATGAAGTCATTGAATGGCAGAGCAGAATCGATGGGCTGAATGGCCTACTTCTGCTGCCATGCATTTAGGGACTTATATTGAAACGTTGGCTTTGTGTCTCTCTTTGTCCGCAAATGCTGAGCTTCTCCAGCATTTTCTCTTTTTATTTCAGTTTTTCAGCATCCCCAGCGTTTTGTTTTATTTGAGGGTTCACAATTTTTAGTTCATTTGAGAGTGCTGGCAGCTAGAAATGTCTGGATAAGTTTTCTGTTGGTGGAACTTCACGTTGAAACATGTAATGCCGTTGTACAGCATAGGATAAAACACTGAATTTAATGACCATTCAGCCCAACTTGCCAATACTACCTGCTCCCAGCTCTCACCCTACCACTCTAACATTCTGCTTCTTTCCCTGTCATGTGTTTATGCAGGTTGACCGTAAATGTACTCTTTTTGTGTGTTCTATAATGAGATAGGCCTCAGCCTATTTAAAATCAAACAAGTGCAGGCAGTGATTGGATGTGAGGGGTCTAAATATTGTCACCTGATCTTTGCCTATCGGAGAATATACGGCATTTTATGCTTCCAATTGTACGGAATTATTCAGCTTATGAAAGCACTTCCTTAAAAAGAACTAGTATCTATAAAACACTTTCAGGTCCACCAGATGTCTCAAACTGTTTTACAGCAAATGTACAGATTTGATCTACAGCCCATGCTTCAGACAGGAACAGGTGGTAGTTAGTTGTGCACAGCAAGCTCCCACAAACAGTTATATGATTCTGATGGGAGAATCTGTTTTTCTGTGATGTTGTTTGAGGGATAAGTATTGGCCCAGGACACCGGGGAGAACAAACCTGCTTTTCTTTGGCATAGTACCATGGATTTTGTCTGTTGACCTGAGAAGCGAAAATGGGTAACCTTGCTTGAAGTACTCATTCCAAAGACAGTACAGCACCCACTCAATTCTCCCCCCTGACCACTGTGCTTAAGTCCTTGGATGCACAAATATCAACTCAGAGTGGGGAAAGTTGCGGCTGACACCCTCGTGTAAGGGAAATCAGTGCACACCCCACACTAACAATATGCCTGTTCACTTTTGTATAGTAGACCTCCTTCAGGTAGTAGCCGGACACTTACAGATTCCCTTGCAGTTTTAAAGTAGCACCCAAAGTAAGTGCTCAGCTTGTTTCTAATACTGCAGTTCATTCTGTTCCTTTTTTATCAGCATAGCTGGATGGCTCAGTAGCACAGCGGTTAGCACTGCTGCCTCGCAGCACCAAGGACTCAGGTTTGATTCTACCCTCAGGTGACTATCTGTGCAGAGTTGCACATTCTCCCTTTGTCTGCATGGGATTCCTCCAGGTGCTCTGGTTTCCTCCCTCGGTCCGAAGATGTGCAGGCTAGGTGGATTGGCCATGGGAAATGCAGGGTTACAGGGATAGAGTAGGGGGCGTGGGTCTGGGTGTGATGATCTTTGGAGGGGCAGTGTGGGCTCAATGGGCTGAATGGCCTGCTTCCACACTGTAGGGATTCTATGATTCTATACTTTTTGAAGTATAGTTACTTCAACACAACAACTAAATTCCACTCGTCAGCAATGTGATAACGACTAGAGAGTATGCTCTTTAGGTGTTGATTGAGGGATAAATATTGACCAACTACTCTTCGGAGCTGATGCTGTGGGTCTTTAACTTGGTTCAGAAATATGTTAAATGTAGTTAAATGATTCCTCATGAACTTCTTGTCCAAATGCAAATTTATTACTCAAAACTCCAACGATATAATAACGGTTACAATAGATTCATGGTTTCTTACACAGTTAAAGTGATCAAACTTGGCTACTGTCTGTGTTACCGCTCCTGAACCCTGTCCTTTAACAAGCCTGTCCCTGATATAGAGATAGTAAGAACTGCCTATGCTGGAGTCAGAGACAATACAGAATGGAGTTGGAGGAACACAGCAGGCCAAGCAGCATCAGAGGAGCAGGAAAGCTGACATTTCGGGTCGGGACCCTTCTTCAGGAATGGGGAGGGGGAAGGGAGCTGGGAAATAAATAGAGAGAGGAGGGGTGGGGCTGGAAAAGGTAGGTGGGATGGTGATAGGTGAGTGTAGGTAGGCAGTGGTGGGGATTGGACAGTGAGGTGGGAGTGGCGGATATGTGGGAGAGAAGATGGACAGGTTGTGTCAGGCCAAGGAAGGGGGGATGAGAGGCAGGGTTGGATATGAGATGAGACCCATTTTGGGAGCTCCCTGGACTACACTGCCTGTCACCCACCTTCCTGCAAGAATGCGATCCCCTACTCCCAATTCCTCTGCCTCCGCCGCGCCTGCTCCCAAGATGGGGTGTTCCACTCCCAAACATCCCAGATGTCCACCGATTTCAAGGACTGTAACATCACCCCCTTAGTGATTGAAAATACCTTCAATCGCATCTCTTGCATTTTCTCCACTTCTGCCCTCACATCCCCTCCCCACAACAAAAACAAAGAGTCCTTCTTGTCCTCACACCCCACCAATCTCCACATCCAACATATCATTCTCTGCCATGTTCGTCACCTACAATCCAACCCCACAACCAAGGATATATTTCCGTCCCCACCCCTATCTGCCTTCCGGAGGGACTGCTCACTCCACGACTCCCTCGTCCACTCCACACTCCCCACTAGCCCCACCACCCCCGACACCTTTCCCTGCAACCACAGGAGGTGCTACACCTGCCCCTACACCTCCCCCCTCACCTCCATTCAAGGCACAAAACAAACCTTCCACATCAGACAGAGGTTCACCTGCACATCCGTTAATGTGGTCTATTGTATCCGTTGCTCCTGATGTGGCCTCCTCTATATCGGTGAGACCAAGTGTAAACTCAGAGACTGTTTTATAGAGCACCTGCGCTCTGTTCGTGACAAACGACAACACCTTCCGGTCTTGAAACATTTTAACTCCCCCTCCCACTCCCTGGGTGACATATCCATCCTGGGTACTCCTCCAGTGTCACACTGACACCACCTGCAAACTGGAGGAACAGCACCTCATATTCTGCCTCGGGAGCCTACAGCTCAATGGTCTCAATGTGGACTTTACTAGTTTCAAAATCTCCCCATCCCGGCCTCATCCCTCTCATCCCCCCCGCTCCTTGACCTGACACAACCTGTCCATCTTCTCTCCCACCTATCCGCTCCTCCCACCTCACTGACCAATCCCCACCACTGCCTACTTGCATTCACCTATTACCATCCCACCTACCTTCCTCAGCCCCCACACCCTCCTCTCTCTATTTATTTCCCAGCTCCTTTCCCCTCCCCCATTTCTGACGAAGGGTCCAGACCCGAAACGACAGCTTTCCTGCTCTTCTGATGCTGCTTGGCCTGCTGTGTTCATCCAGCTCTACACCTTGTTATCTCAGATTCTCCAGCGTCGGCAGTTCCCAATATCTCTGAATCAAATAGTTCAGTGACACTGCTTAGGTATTTCCATTGTTCTGGCCAATACCTGAGGCTCTCACCTCACATGGGATGTAGCCAGTATGTCTTTTATAGTTTCGACCTCCATTGTTGTGTCTACTATCTGATGTTAACACAAATTCTGATAATTGAGATGTGATTAGCTACAGGACTCATGCAAATTACAACAACCCTTGCACTGTGACAGAAGGTCTTCTCAAACCAGCCACAAGCGTATCATATTCCCTATTCTGGTTCCTGACCAACAAATATTTGTGTATTTGCCTACATTCAAATATTAGCTTGGGCTTTATGGAAAGCATTGTCACCTTTGACCCAACACTTTAAGGGTTCAAATTCCACTCCAGTGACTCAAGCCTTGGCTTCAGTGCTGTATTGAGGGAGTGCTGTACAGTTAGTGACAGGGCATTTTTTGTTTGATGAAACCATTGAATAGAGACTCTATTGCTCTCTTAATTGGGTGTAAACTAGTCTTTCCTGGCCAATATTTATCCACCTTACTGCAGCTAATTGTCCGGTTTTTTGATGCCATTGCTGCTTGTCAATATTTTCTTGGTACGCAGAAACACACACTGCAGTGAAATTCCATTGTGGCACGGACATCCAGGGACAAAAAGAAAATGAGACCACCTCATCTACAGAGAGGCGGCCGCACACGGAAATCAACAAAATTTCTGTGAGAGGCAATGGCCCGGTGGTATTAACGCTGGACTGTTAATCCAGAAACTCAGCTGATATTCTCGGTACCTAGGTTCAAATCCCACCACGGCAGATGGTAGAATTTGAATTCATTAAAAATCTGGAATTAAGAGTCTAATGATGACCATGAATCCATTGTCGATTGCATGACAAAAGATTAATCCCCTTTAGGGAAGGAAACTGCCTTCCTTACCTGGTCTAAACTATACGTGACTCCAGACTCCAATGTGGGTGACTCTCAAGTGCCCCCTGGGCAATTAAGGAGAGGCAATAAATGCTGGCCCAGCCAGCGATGCCTTTATCCCATGAATGAATAAAAAAATACAAGGTGGAGACTCCAGACCGAGGGAGTAGTCAGACCCTGGGCCAAGGGGAAAATCAGGGCAGAGGGTGAATTGTGCCCAGGGCCAAAGGGGGAAACAGGGCTGAGGGTGAATTGTGCCCAGGGCCAAGGAAGCCTGAGGGGGAAGTTAAGGCCAAGGCTTGAGAGGTGGTGTCAATCTATACCCAGCAGTGCTGGAACATCACTCTAGCGCTGAGTTAAGTGCCTTCGGAATAGTGGGAAATATTTAATTAGATCCATTTAAAAATGACAAATAGCTGGTGAAGAAAGACCTCAATGTTTACAGCAGTATTTGCCATGTCTCTCCAGCAGGCACGTTCCAAGGGCGGTGCTGTCAGTAAACTCATGGAGAGTATGGCAGCTGATGAGGATTTTGAGCAGAATCAAGATAGCAGCTTCTCTGAAGATGAAAACCTACCTTTGAGCATGCTGATTGAGAGGCCTTCGACACCAGGTTAGTTGACCGTAGGGGTTAAATGCTCAGCGTTATGGATCCCAGCTGCGCTCCCCACTCCCCGTATTCATGGGGCACTAACCGAGCTTCAGCCATTGCCAGAATTGACAGGAATATGGTTTCTGACTGGGCTGTACCAAAACTGTTAAAACGGTAGAAATCTGATTGTTTTTTAAAACAAGATCACTTTCCTTATTTTGTGAGGTGTGTTAGATAAGACAGGCCTTTTAAGATGAATTTCTGTCATCAGCAAAACAAAATCAGCCTACCTTGTGCCATATCTGATTGGGGACTCGACAAAAGAAAACAACCCCAAGAAAGCAGCCCTCAGAGAATTGGCCACTATTAATACTGTACTTAAATATCTATCAAATTACTCTTTTGACAGATATTTCTGTTTGAATAAACAAGTCCAAATAACAGGATGTCTGCTAACGCCTCATAAAAATCCACCATTTTAAAATTGAAACTAGAACCTTTACATTCAGTGAGTGAAGTTAATGACAGTCAATCATTACATTGTATTGTAACTTCAGGTGGTAATTACAGTTACTGTTGTCTAATTTAGCTGCCCAAGTGAATTGGGTTGTTTAACACATGATTGTTTTGATTAACAAATGATTTTGTTTACTCCTGTGACCTGGCTCAGCTATTGAGATGAGTGATTTCTATTGAGGAGTCTCCTCTATCCCCCTTTATGTAGCTTCATCCTGTCCCGTGTCTGTTATCCCTCCTTAGTTCTTCCTACACCCTTGCATTTTGACAGATAGTCAAGTCATAGTTGTGAGCAAGTCCTTTACACTTAAAAACTACTTCACATGATAGACCGGTTCGTCCTCAATGATAACATTGAAATTTTCCTTGCCCCTTTTTCTGGTACTTTACAAGATGAATTATTGCCAATTCATTAAAAGCATAATTTTTTTATTTACAAATAGCCTCACAGGAAAGTAAAATTCTCTTTGCTTAGAACAACTGGCTTTAAAAAAAGTGCGTTTTCTTCAATCAGTTTACATCAAATTTCACAGAAGCAAAACAGGTCATTTAGACGAACTCGTCTCTGCCAGCATTTGTATTCCACTCAAGAACCCTTCTACCTTTCTTCATCTCATCCAATCCTTCTGTTTTTGTTTTCCCCCTCCTTTATTTTTCAAGCTTCCCCTTAACTGTGTCTGTGTTTTGCTTTATTCTGATTCAATGGGTCGGCAGGTTTGCAGCCTGCCTGAGTCAGCAAAATCATTAGCAATTGATATCCTATCATCGTTTTCCACACCATCTGATTGTCCCCACAGAGAAAAACACCATGTATGTCTAGAGATAGCAGGAACTGCCAATGCTGGAGAATCTGAAATAACAAGGTGTAGAGCTGGATGAACACAGCAGGCCAAGTAGCATCAGAGGAGCAGGAAATTTTTTCCCTTTTTCTGAAGAAGGGTCCAGACCTGAACTGTCAGCTTTCCTGCTCCTCTGATGCTGCTTGGCCTGCTGTGTTCATCCAGCTCTACACCTTGATATCCCATATATGTCTAGGGTTTGTTTGGGATTTACCCAGATAAATGGAAACTAACATTCACACCACGCAATAGCCGGGCAATGACCATCTCCAATAAGAGAGAACCTAACCATCGCCCCTTGACATTCAATAGCATAGCCATCACTGAATTTGCCCTCTCCCCACCCCATCTTCTAGTCAGGAGTAAGTTGGAATCATTTCCACTTGCCTAGATGAGTGTAACTCCAACAACACTCGGAAGATCGACACCATTTGGGACAAAGCAGTTTACTTGATTGTCATCCCATCCAGCACCTTCCACATTCACTCCCTTCACACCACTGCACATTGACTGCAGTGTGTACAATCTCTAAGACACACTGAATCACTCACCTGGGCTCCTTTGACAGCACCTTCTAAACTCTCAACTTGTACCATCTAGAAGGACAAGGGAAAGCCATCACCTGCAACTTCCCCTCCAGGCCACACACCATCCCGACTTGGAACTGCATCGCTGTTCCTTCACTGTTACCGGGTCAAAATCCTAGCACCCACTTCTTAAGAGCACTATGGGTGTCCTACAGTACTGCAGTGGTTCATGAAGGCAGCTTGATAACACCTTCTCCAGTACAATCCTAGATGGACAAAAATGGTCAGCAACGCCTGCATTCCGTGAATGAATTGAAGAAAAATTTGCAGATATCTGAACCAGGCTGCAAGCCTCACCTCTCCCTATCTCTTTCAATTCTGGCCTCTTGCTCCAGCTCAGCTGTCATCACTGCACTATTGTCCCTTCGGTGGTCTCCACCCTAACCTCCCTAAACTTCCTCGTGTCTCCATTACTCTCTCCTCACTTACGATGCTCCTTAAAACTTGCTCGCCAACAACGTTTTTGAATATCTCGTTGCGTTTGCTGGGTGTAAACTTGGTTGGATAAAGCTCGTGTGAAGCTGCTCGGGATGTTCCGACAGGGGAGAGCTGCAACAATGGCTGGTTGTAGTTCTGGTGGTTGACGGGATTGTATTCCATTGGTGACGGTGCAGAGCTTCACAGCCAAGGCATTACCGAGAGATTGCTATCTTTATCCACAGCTCTTCGCTCGTGCGTGATTGACAAAGATGAGCTGAAGGATGGCCTTCGGGTGCTGATTCCAATGGATGACAAGCTGCTGTATGCTGGATATGTGAAAACTGTCCACTCTCCGGATATGTAAGTTGTCAGCGAGAAGAGAGGATTGACGTGCTCATTGCTTAAAGGTGCGGCGCGCAATTTCCCAGCTGCCCCTGATTCTTGCCTGAAAATGGGAGTCTGACCTTTGAAGGTCAGAGTTTAGTGGGTAGTGTGGCAGTAACCCCCCTCCAAGCCCACCTCTTCGCCATCCAACATCTACCTGAGACCATTTTGTCAGATCCTGTGGCTTCTGGCATGTTTGCAACCAGCCAAACAAATCTGCAGCTGACTGATTGAACAAGTGATTTGAATACAGTTCATGGTGCTGGCTTCCAGTTGGAAAATATTACTCATCCCCCACGTTCTGACTTTTTTTATGAGTTCAGATCCATTCATTTCAGGCGCAGAATGAATGCTGTAGAGACAGAGAGAGAGAGAGCTCACCTGAAACAGAAGGTTGATGTTGCAAATACTGTGAATATTGATTGTGCATAGGTGCATGCTCCAGCTGTCATTAAGAGCTGAATACTAATTGGGAAATGGTTAGGTTACATGTATGAGAACCAATTGGGTAGGAGTGCACCACAGGGGCTGGGGCACATTATTTCCCCTTCCAATTCAATTTTGATTTAGACTATCTCTTTCTCTATTCTCAAATCTTCCTGTTTTTTTATTACTTTTGGACTGCCCCTGGTAGGCAGTGCTTGCAAGGTGTTATTTTAATCTGTGAAGGTGGAGATTTGGTGGTTGGGTTTGTTCAACGCCTATGACTGGGCATCCCTGCAGAGGGAGTATCCACCGGAGGTCACTGTGGTCAGTAAAGACTGGAGTGCATTATCTCCCCTCCCCCCCAACCCCAGATCAATTTCAGTTGGGTAAGTTTCCTCTCGTGATTTGATTTTTGTGCCTGAGGTTTTCCAGCCAACCTCCTGCTTCCGGCAGTGACAGAAAAGATTAACAGCTTGGGGGTGGGTGCCCCCTGATGGGTGTGGATTAGGGTCCAACCAATAGCTACCCTGGGCAGATGGTTCTCCCTCCTCTCCCGAGACATATACTAATTGCCTGGTTGTGCTTGTCAGAGACCCGGGAGGGATCCTTCTTGTCAATTCCCATTGTGCACTGCACTGGGATGTTCTCTGAATGGTTTGGGTCGATCCTCTAGATTTGAGGGTGTGGGCGTCCACTACCCCCCAGTTGGACAGGAAGCCCATTTTGTGCCAACTAACAGCTCCTGTACCCACATCTAAATCTCGTCTTTAATCCGTTCCCTCCCTTGGATGCAGGTCAGTGAGCCAAAGGCAGCCTTGCCTTGGTTTAACATCTCCTCAGTAGATGGCACAGTGACAGTGCACCACTCCCTCAGCAGCACAGGTTATACACTGAGGTCCCAGAGCGGGGGCTTGACCCCATGGCTGTCTAAAACCTTGCTGAAAAGACAAAACTCCCCTCTTCTCCAGGGGAGTGAGGGATAGGATCCTGACATAATTCACAAGCCGTGTCTGTTCCTGGTGTCTGAGGCCAATAAGGAAATACTCTCTTTGTTTTCGCTGAGAGAAGCCATTTCTATTTTCACTAAGCACATCTGAGCAATGCAAAAAAGTTAAAGAACTGGTCATGGGGTGAAACGGCTCAGTGGTTAGCACTGCTGCCTCACAGCACCAGGGACCTGGGTTCAATTCCAGCCTCAAGTGACTGTCTGTGTGGAGTTTGCACATTCTCCCGTGTCTGTGTGGGTTTCCTCCGGGTGCTCCAGTTTCCTTCCAACAGTCCAAAGATAGGTTAGGTGAATTGACCATGCTAAATTGCCCATAGTATCCAGGGATGTGAGGGCTTGGTTGGTTAGCCATGGGAAATGTGGGGTTAGGGTAGGGAAGACTGTGGGTCTGGCTGGGATACTCTTCAGGGGGTCAGTTTGAACTCAATGGGCTGAATGGTCTCATGTCACACTGGAGGGATTCTATGATTTTATGTCCCTAATGAGGTTGGAAGCGCATACTTGCTGTGTGTTGTAACTTCCTAATTTAAATAGCTGCTTTATACTGAATTAACTATGAAACCATCATTTCCCTGATATGCACTAGAACTGAACTCAGGACAGACAATGACCGATCTTTAACAGATCCAAAACAAATTAATACTTTTTGTATTCCTTCAATTCAAATGATTAACGTCCAACCTCAAGGCTTAATTTCAAATCAGTTTGTTTTAAGTGGGTCTGAGGAGCTGAGCCTGTTCAGAGCAGAGTTAGCCTGTGCCAGAAAAGCAACACTTTTCCAGATGAAGGTATTGGCCACACCTCAGTGGGCAGGACTCTTCACCTCTGAGTCAAAAGCTCGTGTCTTATTGTGTTACCAGGGCTGATGCTGCAGTTCCGTACTGAGATAGCGCTGCACTGGTGGAGGTGATCTCTCCCAGGTTAGCTGCTAAATAGAAGCCTGGATGGCTTCAGATCTTGGATGGACATTAAAAATCCTATGGCTAGGGAGTCCCAGTCAATATTTATCTCTCAAGCAACATCACGTAACACTGCAGTTTCTGGGACTTTGCCATGCCTAAACTGGCTATTGATTTTTTTTCTAGTAGAGTGGCAGTACTTCAGTTAACACTCCATTGGCTGCAGAGCACTTTGGAATACCCTGAGATTATGAAGGATGCTATATAAATGCCTTCTTTATAATGTTTAAGGTAGAGGGTGGAATCTTCCACTCTCGAGATGCAGTGGGAAAGTGGTAGGGAAAAGGGATAATTGGGCTATCTCTTCCATCTGATATCGCCACCACCCACCCACCCAACCCCCTCTCCCCCCACCACCACCACCACCACCACCACCACCACCACCACCACCTTTTTGTCACGTCGGAAGTTAAGTTCTAAATAGGAAGGCCTGTGATAGACCTTCCCAACTCACTGCCAATAATTGATCAATTATCAATGACTAGAGGGCCTCCTGTGGCCTGGCCCACAATTAATTGAGCTCCAGGTGGGACAGGAAAGAGTCAGCCTACTCAGCAACAGTGGGCAAGCTATCAGTTTTGGGAGGAGCTGGGGTCGGCGAAAGCGGGTAGTTCCCTCAATCTGACCAGCTCCACCTCCATCCCTACCTCTCTCGCTTCCGATCCTCCATCTCGCGGTCTGGGAAATGGTGCCTTGGCGACAGGTGTTATGGTGCTGCCAAGTTGTGGAGACATCAGGCACTGATGGATGGCAGCCCCAGACAGGCAGGACTTCATGTTCCAGCTTTTGGAGAAAATGGATTATTAAGTCAGCCATGATCTCATTGAAGGGCAGAGCAGCTTCGATAGGCTGAATGGTCTACCTCTGCTGTAGGGTCTTTTGAATTTGGAATTCCAGCAGAACCCCCATTACCCCAGCATCTACTTGATTGACAGAGAATCCATTGGGATTTCTGAACCCACGTGTTTCTCTACATAAAATGTTCCTGTTTTGGGACTTGATTCAAGAACAGGAAACTTCCACCCAAACTGTGGAAGGATAAATGATCCCTTTCCATACATTTTACTTTTGTGTAAAACTGAAGTGACCTAAGTATGAAATCCATGCTTCTGCAGTCCTGCAACTCAGACCATTTCATCCTAACCAGACGACCAAGTGAATGTAACTGCAAAGTCGCTCTGTTGCTATCAGCAAAGCACTGCAGCAACTCGGGTCATCACCTTCAGGAGACAAGGGCCCGGAGAGTCAAACTTTGCTGGGCATGTGTGGGTCTATCTTTGCCTTTATCTGTGTGTATGATTTTTGTTTGTACAAGGAGATAAAGATTCAATGTGGGGAAAATGTCACGTGCAACAAAGTTAACATTTCTCCTTGCGTGCGTCACCACTTTTCTGGCATTTACCAAAAGAGCAGTAAAGTCAAAGACTCAGAAAATAACACGTCGGGGCAATATACAAAATATCTTCCATATTATTTAAACGCAGAAAATGTGACTTTATTGGATTTTAAAAAAAAAGGGAAATACAAAATTGCATTTGTTTTGCAATGTGACTAACAAGTAACTTCCTAATGATAGAACAGTGACAAGTGCTGGGGCTTGATTTAGGCCTAGTCTCTCTTTTTGTTAATTATTGGTGCTCAGGTTCCCTGCTACAGTCCAAAGATGTGCCGGTTAGGGTGGATTGACCATGCTAAAATTGCCCCATCTAGGGATATGCAGGCCAGGTGGATTAGCCATGGGAAATCCCAAGTTACAGGGATGGGGTAGGACAGTACAGACCTGATGGGCCAAATGGTATCTTTCTGCAATGCGGGGATTCTTAGATGAACTGTGAATTATCTTTTTAAACAAGATTTTAAATTGCTGCTACCAATCTGCACATGGATCTGACTTTAAGAAATTGAATGGAGAGATAGCAAGGATTAGAAGATTGATCTACGTAAACACCCTGGCACCTCCTAAAGTATAAAAAAAATTTCTATTCTAGATATCGTGTGGTTGTAGAGGGAGAGAGAGGAAACCGTCCTCACATCTACTCCTTGGAGCAGCTCCTACAGGAAGCGGTGAGAGGCTTATTAACCTTTACAGATTGGCAATAATGTTTGTTTTTGGATGTGCATGCTGTTAACACCTTTTGTGAGCTTTTCTTCAGTCTTGGTTGTATAAGCAGCGAAGTTAAAACACTCATTGTAAAACAGACAGGGAACGAGCGCTGGATTAAAATGGCCTGAAACTCCTCATTGTGCCCAATGTCCTAGTCACAGCTTTAAATTATCTCTCCATGCACTTTAAGTGTCTGAGAGCAAAAGCAAGAACCTCTTTCTGCAGATACTCCTCATGGTACCATTGGTTTGCAAGAAGTTAACATGATTTTTCCATTGAAAAGCGATATTATCTGTTTATGAGTTTCCCCTATCACCTTGCCTTTTGACATAAATCATTAAAAGGAATGGCATATTTGATTTCAGAAATTTGTTCGTATTTCGGGTGCTCTGTAAGTGTAGTGACGCTATTTAAATTACACCCTCAATTGACTGTTTGAAGCATTGTAACATCAGGGAGACTAGAGCTCCACTTGGCAGAGATATCTCGCCAGGTGGTTTCCTTGTTTGTGGAGGCTGGAAATTGAAATAACTGCACAGAGACTGGTAACCCATACCAAGTCACCCTTTATTTACACGTGCATAATACGTGACCCAGCCAGCTCAGTGCCAGCTTCTAGAGTGAGCAGAACCTCTGATACCCATGTTTATATCTGTCAGCCAGGGCTCCCTGTTTGGGCCAGGTTAACAGTGGGCCAATCGGGGAACTCATATTCTATGAGATCCAGAGATAGTAGGAACTGCAGATGCTGGAGATTTTCTGAAGAAGGGTCTAGGCCCGAAACGTCAGCCTTCCTGCTCCTCTGATGCTGCTTGGCCTGTTGTGTTCATCCAGCTCTACACCTTCTGTGAGATCCACTGGCTGACTTTTTCATTCCAGTCACTACAGAAATGTAAGTAGTCAGAGCTGGCCACCCATCATGGAAACAGCACAGCCTGTCTTGTACAGATGCACAAGTACCAAGCTGTGCTTGCCCAGCCATTCCTCAGTTGCCGTGTGAGTGAGATTTATTCCACAACACTGGTGTCCTCTGAGCACTTGACGATTTACTTTGAGAAGAATCTGCGGCCTCAAATTTTGTGGGTTGGGTGGACGGGCGCGTCTTGGTGGGGAAAGTGTGTGGACGGCATGGCCTGGCAACTGAGCAGGCCTTTCCTCGGAATCTCATGGACGGCACTTGGGAAATTGGCCCCTGCCGGCAACCCCCACACCCCACAAAAGGAATCAGCTGGACCAAACACAGAGCAGCCCTGACAACATGTCCCACCGCTGCTTTGAAGGCAGGAGCCCTGCGGCCTACGGCAAGTCAGAAAAGAACAAAGTTTCCGAAAAGAATACAGGGCCGAGATGCCCGTCAGGGATATCAAAAAGGGCGCCTGTACCTGTGGTCACCCATTTTTTACTTTAACCCCTCCCGCCCCACATCCCCACCCCCTAAAACGCTAGTTAGCCACCGAGTATCTGCCTTGAGGTTTATCATGAGGCCTGGTCACATGGAGATTAAATTGCTGCTGTCTGTCGATGATGAAATGGCCCTTAATAAGGCCCTAACATATTTCAATTGGCTGCCTGCCCCCCTGGGGGTATGAGGGGTCTGTTTGTTTGCTATCCTGTTGTTGTTAAACATTTCTGATTGGGGGCTGGGGGGGTGGATAGCGGGATATGGAGCTGAATCAATCTGATTTTTCTCAATTCTACAGCAACCGCGACCCTTCCCCCCCCCCCCCCCCCCCCCCCAACAACCCTACCCTGGCCTCTGTCACTCGATACATTCAAATGCTCCTCTTCCATAGTACAACATCTTCAATAAACACTTCAGCGATGGCCCAGGGATATTGCCTTCCTGTTGAGCTCAGCATTTAGTTTGTCAGGATTGATTTGATCTGAGATTCAAATGCAGCTTTAATTTTAGATCTCGTTCTCTCCTAATATCCTTTTGAAGCAGATCATTGATGTTAAGCCGTCCTCTGTGAGATTGTTACCTGAAGGAACCCGAATTGCTGCCTACTGGAGCCAACAGTATCGCTGCCTGTACCCAGGAACTGTTGTCCGAGGTACCTGTCTCTCTCTCTCTCTCTCTCTGATTCTGTAACCCAGGGGCCCTATCTCCGCGAGTTGTCACTCATGAAGCCATTTTACTCGGTGACATCCAGACCTCCCAAGTCAGAAGTGTGAAAATGAGAGCTTAGTGCTGATTCAGCTCCGTAAAGGGTTAGCCTTGAAATACATTGATCACAGTGTCTTCTGTGCACAGAAAGCAGACTGATCTTTCCTTTCAAACTCGAAACAAAGATCTCTCTAGTTACTTTCTACATTTATAATGAACAGAATGTTTTAATCCCCAAAGATTTTTTGCAAGAATTTGAAATGACATCTTCTGAGAAGCAGGGGAGGGGATGGGACATGGCGGGAGGGGAGGGGATGTGGAGGGACAGAGGAGGGGAAGTGGATGAGAGGGGAAGGAACATGGAGAATTGTGATTTAAGGTTTGGGAAGGGGAGGAGAGGTGGAGGAGACAGGAGAGAGGGAGGGGGGAAAGCTGGAGAAGAGGGATTATAGAGCAGAGATAGAGGGAGAGAAGGTAGAAGAGCGGGAAGGTAAAGGAGAGGAGGAGAGATAGAGGGGGAAAGATGGATGGGGGGAGGCAGAAACAAGAAAGATGGAGGATAGGGTAGAGGAAGTAGAAGGGGGAATAAGTGGAGGAGAGAGGAGGGGAGGGGTTGCATGGGGGAGGGGCGGTCAACAGTGGAACATGAAAAGTACTCAGGATGGGGAAATATTGTTCTGTTGGGTCCAATCCAGTAAACAACTCTGGGTTTGGTCAGTTGTGTGTTAATCCAGTGAGTATCTGATCCAGACACACCCCAGGCTGGGTTCTCGATGCAGACCCTTTCCTGTGCTCTGTTATCTAATATCTGTTTGGTCAATGCAGTCAGCCCCAGCACTCCTGGACCTCTCAGGCCAAGTGGGGATCAACTTGAGAGCTGATCACAGGCCATTATAAAGTATAAGCATGTAACAATGAGTGAAGCCAGACAGTACATTTATCTAGAGACTTGAAGTGTGGTCACCGTTGTACATTTCATGCAGCATGATCCCACAACACAATGAGATCATGATGGAAGGAAACAAAATTGTTGTTTCTCCATGAAATTGCTCATAAGATAAACATTGGCCAAGATACCAGGGAGAATTTCCTTGCTGTTTGAAATAGCAGATGGTTTATGTCCAAGCAAGATGACCAATTGGGCTTCTGTTCAACATTTAATCTGAAAAACAAATCATACCTTGTCTTGATCAGTGAATAACAAAAGCTAACAACTCAGGGTCTCATTCGTAAAGGACCATTTGAGTGAGATATTGGATCAACCTGGTTTGACAAAGCAGCCAGGCCTGCCTATATTCAATGGGATAACTATCATTGGAACCACACACAAGTCCCAACCCCACATACACACCAACTCCCCATCCTGCCAGGCAACATCCTAGAGGTCACCATTAACCAGAAACTCTCTACTGAACCAACCACACAAATCTGTGGCTCTAAGCACTCTCCTCCAATCTCCCCAAAGCCTGTCCGACATTTACAAGGCACAAGTCTGGAGTGTGATGCCATGCTGTCTGTTGGATTATATTATGTATTTCTGAATTTTCCCAGTAATAGATGGCCTATAGTCACCTTTTACGTCTCCCTCCTTTTATTGAATAAGGGCGTTGTATTAGCATTTTTACAATCCTCTGGGATCCTTTTCCAGAATCAAAAGATTCTTGGAAAATTATGACCAGTGATTCCACTATCTCCGTAGTTACTTCCTTAAAATACATGGACAGCAACACTTCATGAAGGTAAAACATCTTCTCGAGCGCAATTAGAGATTGGCAATAAATGCTGGCCTCATCAGCAATGCCCACATCCCATGAATTAATAAAAAAGAATCTATTGAGATTCTGCAAAAATTAGCATTCAATTTAATCCCACTGTGTTCAGCACTTGCTGAACCTGTCAGATCATTTATGTGGGTTATGATAAATCCCACATTTGAAGTGGTCCTCTTTTAAGGAGTTTTCCCTTTTGCTTTTTTTCCCCCTTAGTTGCTGTATAACCCTTTGCTCCAATCTATTGATTGGAATAAATCAGTATTAAGGAACTTGCTCTTAAGTAGAGTAACCAATATTGTTAAGTGATTTCTAAAACTGACAGGAAGGTCTTTGAAGCTTGTAACTTTTTCAAGTGTTTGGGCCATTTGCTTTCAGGGCACATTTATCATCGTGCTCTTGTACGTGAGACTGAAATTTATCATGGTACACTGACATTGTGATAACTGCTATTCTCTAGTTATTGCCATAAATCTGCTTCTCTCGGCTCCCTTTATAGTGGGAACACCAACATTAGCAGCTCACAGCACAGAAGGGAACCAGGAAAGAAAAACACTTTTTTTTTAACCTTACGGCTGCCAAAAGCATTTTTGGCAACCTTCCTCTGTTCAATGGAGGGGTTAGGAATGTGATGAAAGTAGGTTTCTGTGCTGTAAACAAAATACCCTTAGATCTCATCCTCCATTCTGGCTTGGGAGATTCTCTAGATGGGGCCTAATCATATCTGGAGAGAGGTGGGAGGTATCCAAGGCAACATAATACAGTGAATATTTAAACCTCAGCCAGAATTATGCTATTACTATCAATCCATTAGAAAGGCAGAAAGAATAAAACTCTAACTAAGCTTTGACTTTTAAACAGGATTATCCCCGCAACCATTTCAAGATGAAATGGGTGTAGGCCTGGATTTTTGCCAGGACTGGGTAACTAGGAGCCCTTTAAAAATAGTGGGCTGGTCCTAATCCCAAGATTCCTGAGTCTCTTCCTCAGGTTTCTGATTTTCACTTCTGAGGGAGCAGGCTGGAATAGATTGTGAGCCCACACACAGCATTCTTAACCTGGTCAACTCCATCGTGGAGATAAGCATAATCTACGCCTCTGCAATTTTCAATTAATGGGGCATGGTTTACAGCATCTCAGGGTGTCATGGGCCATAGTTTGTATGATGGAATATATAGAAATCCCAAATGGCCTTCTCATGGCAGTATATGCCAAGGTATGCCCTCCAATTCTGCCCTCATGCCAGGCTGTGTCACCTTTATTCACCCACATTTTTGAAGTAATTAATGCTAGAGCGACAGTAAGGTGTGTAAAACAAAAAGATATTTTGAAAGTCATTCATTGCTTCAACCACTTTGTTAAAGGAACTCCTTTTTACTATCCGAGAATAAAATGTCAATGATCAAGACCCCTTAAGTAGCTGAAACTGAAAGCATTTGAAACCTTAACTTCGTGTAAATTCATCTTGACATTTCGATAGAACGTTAACAGCAATATTCCACCCAAGTGGAAACATTAACTATTGGTTGCTTTCTGGAACCACTTAAAACTGCAGCTTATCCCAGTTAATACTCCAGCCAGCATCCTACTAAGTTGCAAGACCGTAAAAGTCCAGGTTTGATTCCAGTTGTGGTGAGTTAGTTATTCTCTGTGGGAGGGTTAGGCACACTGGTCACCATACAATTGGAATTCAGTATCAGTTGGTAGAGAAGGGAGCAGTTGACCAGGGCTCTGCCTCTTGATTGCTAACCGTCATCTTCAGTTTGCACTGGACATGAGGATTGAAGGTGGAGAATATCATCAAGCTAATCTGTGATGGCCTCTGAAGTCAAGTAGCATGTTGACGCACTCTGCTTAAGCTTGCACCAATGAATAATCCGTAAGTTCCTGAATTCCTTTTCAAAACCTCTGCATCTCTCTTTGCAACACTCCTCAAAACCTATCTCTTTATACCCCTGTCGTAATATTCTCTCATGTTTAGTAATGCTCCCAAGAGATGTATTGGGACGCTTTGCTCCTTTGAAGCCCCTATAATAAATACAAGTTATCATTCTAGATATGATGATGATAGTGGTTGAAAACCAGCATCTCCACTGGGGAAGATGGGAAGGGGATTGTGTGGGGAACATTACGTTGTGCAACTAATTTGTGATTGCAACCCAACTTACTATTTGTGAGAAAAGTACAAGATCCAATCACCCAATCTACAATATTGGCTTCGCCTCAGCCCTCTAAAGGCCAGATCGTTGCCCTGAGTGAAAAATCTCAGTGGGATTGATGTTTTATTTTTCTGCAAGATCTCATGCTAACCCATGACATCTAAAGCGGTTTATACAGTTGCTTGCTGGAAGCTGGAAGTTATGAGGAGTTCTGCAGGACAATAATAACCTTAACATTCTGGCTTGAATTTTCATCCTCAGGGCAAGTTGCAAAAGTTGGGAACACTCCTGGCAATCTGAGAGCCCAGATGTTCCAGGTCAACACCATTTTCCCACACTGTCCGCATTTCATTGATGTTCCTAATATGTTGAAATCTGTTGATCTCTGTCTTGGCCATACTTAACAACTAGAAACTCTACGGCAAGCTGGGTAGAGAGTCCCAAAGATTCACTTCTCTCTGAGCAATTAAATCTCTCCTCTTAGTGAGATCACTTCTCATTCTTCTAGACTCCAGAGAGTAGGTGCCCAGCTTTTCCTCATAGGACAACTCATCCAGCCCAGGAGTTAGTTTAATGAACCTTCATTTGTATTCCCTCTGTGGCAATTAAATCCTTCCTTAGGTTAAAGTGACTACAACTGTGCACAGTGCTCCAGATATGGTCTCATACATAAGGTTCTATATGAATATTCTACTCCATACTAATATTCTCTTGTAGTAAATGCAAACATACATTTGGCTTCCCAAAATGTGGGAGATAGATGGTGGTGATGGAGGGTTGCTTTTTAGACTGGAGGCCTGTGAACATCGGTTTGCCACAGGGATTAGTGCTGGGTCCACTGCTTTTCATCATTTGTATAAATGATTTGGATGTGAACACAGGAGGTATGGTTAGTAAGTTTGCAGATGACACCAAACTTGGAGGTGTAGTGGACAGCAAAGGTTACCTCAGAGTACCGTGGGACCTTGATCAGATGAACCAATGGGCCGACGAGTGGCAGTTGGGGTTTGATTTAGATA